CAGCCAGTGGTCCCGAATATCCCCCAAAGGGCCCTATATTGGAGAGGGTGCAAGCAGGCTGAGGGACCCCCTACCCCCATGCATGAATTTCATGCACCGGGCCTCTAGTATATATATATACACACACACACACACACACACACGTATGTATGTTATAGCATACTATCTATAGGACTCAGGACTACCCGAGGTATCAGGCATCCAATGAGGGCCTTGGAGCATATACCCTGTGGGTCAAGGAGGTTCTACTGGACCTCCATTCAATGGGCCACTACAGAGTCATTGAAAAATGCGCCGGGCCTCTCGCTGGCTTATAATTTTGAGAATGTACTCAATGTTTGGCCTCCTGGAGGAAAGCTGGGTTCGCATGCCTGCTTCTGCATGTGATCCGCTGTGCGCCCCCTGTCCGGATGCCACCCAAAGGCGCCGAGACCCAGAGTGAAAAGGCACGCGGTATCACAGCGCCATTAGAACAACGGTTTGGACCTCAGGGACCCCTTACACCCGCCTGAGGGGTGGCCCAGGGTCCCTGGGCCACCACCCTTTGGGAACCACCCATGTGTGGTATTGTTGTTTTGTTTTGTTTTGCTTTTTAATGAATTTATTTTTTACAGCGAAGAAGGGAGAGGGATAGAGAGTTAGAAACATCGATGAGAGAGAAACATCCATCAGCCGCCTCTGCACAACCCCTACCGGGGATGTGCCCACAACCAAGGTACGTGCCCTTGACTGGCATCGAACCCGGGGCCTTTCCATCCGCAGGCCGACGCTCTATCCACTGAGCCACACCGGTTAGGGCAGAGGTGTGGTACTGTTCTGAAAATGACCTGAGTGGAACACATTGTGTCCAGACGATGACAAACGGAACCAGGAGGCCTCCGTACCCGCGGAGGTACACAGCCTGTGGGTCGACCCGGCAGGCTCAGGAGACTCCCCGGGTTCAAGTCCTCACGCGGATGCTTACTCGCTGTGTGACCGGGGGGAAGTTAATTGACCTCTCTGGGCCTTTGTGTGGGAGGTGGGGGCCGCAGTAAAAGCACCGACCTCCTCCTGGGGTTATGGAAGGTAAAGTGCTCGGGACTTGAATGCAAAGCGGGAGGCACAAAAGGGTAAATTATGCAACTAATTTATGCAAAGCGTTGTTATTAAGCAGCCCTCCAGCACAGCAAGGCGGTTACATAATTGCTGCTAAGTGGTCTCCACAATACACCGCCACGTGGAGCAGAAAGCCACGGCACCGGAGGCATAAAGCCGAGCCGAACACATGCAGGCTACCTAGCCGAACACATGCAGGCTGCCTCTTGAAATTATACATCAGAAGAACGACAAAATATATAAAAAGCAAAACAACGACAACAACAAAACATCCAGCATGGCCGCCTTTTGTTTTGCTTTGTTGTTGTTCGTCCTCATCTGAGGATATTTTTCCATGGCTTGCTTTTTTTTTTTAATATATTTTATTGATTTCCTACAGAGAGGAAGAAAGAAGGGTAGAGAGTGAGAAACATCAATGAAGGAGAAACACCGATCAGCTGCCTCCTGCACACCCCCTACCGAGGATGTGCCCGCAACCAAGGTACATGCCCTTCACCGGAATCGAACCTGGGACCCTTCAGTCTGCAGGCTGACGCCCTATCCACTGAGCCACACCGGTTTCGGCTTTCCATGGCTTTTTAGAGAGAGTGGAATAGAGAGGGAGAGACGGAGAGAGAGAGAAACATGGATGTGAGAGAGACACAGCAATTGGCCATCTCCCACACAGGCCCCACCCAGGGCCGAGGATCAAAGTTTCAGTTGAGGTAGGTGCCCTTGACCGGGAATCGAACCCGGGACCTTTCAGTCTGCAGGCCGACGCTCTATCCACTGAGCCAAACCGGTCCCGGCTAGCTTGATATTTTAAAGGAGATAAAAGTTAACACGGGATTGTTACCTTCTGGACAAGATCAGCACTTTTCCCAGCACCGGGACCACATCCTCCCCTCCTGCCTGCAGGACCGACCGCTCCCCTGGGTCAGGCTGCCGGCAGCCCTCGTTGACAGGAACATCCTTCCCCCGGAGCACACGTTTCCATCTCTCATCGGCATGCAGCTCCGGGCAGCCGGGGGCCCTGGGTTCATCCTGACAGAGCCGCGGAACCGTATCTGCCATCCCGAACCCTGAGCGTGACCACCCGGATTCCCGAAACCAGGGAAGATGACTCAGCATCGTCCCCCAGGGAGCTGAGTCCTGCTGAACCCTCTTTCTTTCCTGCTAACCTCCACCCCACCTCCTCCCACCCTCCCTGCTCCAGGAGGTCCTGCCAGCCCCACCCCCTCCCTGGTTACCCCGACAGAGACCGGAGCCCCCAGAGATGGAAAGGACTTGCTCCAGGTTTGCATCCTATTCCTAAAAGGCAGTAAAAATGCAGCCGCTCAGAGAGTGGACCCTGAGGTCAGACAGACCTGTGTGTGGATTCTCCTTCGCATCCGACCAGCGGGACGGAGCTCCCGGGTCTCAGTCTCTCCATCTGCAAAATGGGCTCCCAGGACCGCCTGGTGCTCAGGAGAATCCAATCGGGGAATCAGTGAGGAGCACTCAGCCCGAGTCCCTGTCCGACACCCCACGTGCTTGATAAAATGTGGGTGTGGCTGACGCTCTGAGGGTGCCCGGAGGTTAAATGAAGGGAAAGCACAGTGGCTCAGGCCAAGAGATGTTGTCCGGTGTACACCCAAAGGTCCCAGGTTCAATTTCCGGTCAGGGCACCCATGGTTCTCTCTCGCATCCGTGTTTCTCTCTGTCTCTCCCTTCCTCTTCCTCTAAAAGCAATAAAAATGTAATCTCAGCCGAAACCGGTTTGGCTCAGCGATAGAGCGTCGGTCTGCGGACTGAAAGGTCCCGGGTTCGATTCCGGTCAAGGGCATGTACCTTGGTTGCGGGCACATCCCCGGAAGGGGGTGTGCAAGAGGCAGCTGGTAGGTGTTTCTCTCTCATCGACGTTTCTAGCTCTCTATCTCTCTCCCAACCTCTATGTAAAATATCAATAAAATATATATTTTTTAAAAATGTAATCTCAGGTGATGAGTTAAAAACAACTGCCCTAGCTGGTTTGGCTGAGTGGATAGAGTGGCAGTCTTCGGACTAAAGGGTCCCAGGCTCGATTCCGGTCAAGGGCACAGGCCCGGCTGTGGGCTCCGTCCCCAGTGGGAGGTGTGCAGGAGGCAGCCAGTCAATGAATCTCTCTCATCACTGATGTTTCTATCTCTCTCTCCCCCTCCCTTCCTCTCTGAAATCAATAAGAATATATTAAAAACAACAAGTAGAGATAAACCAAAGAAGTTATATACTTATATGCATAGGCCATGGACACCAGCAACAGGGTGGTTAAGATAGGGGAGGGGGGGAGTTGGTAGGGACTGGGGAGGGGGAGAAAATGGGAGATATCTGTAATACCATCAACAATAAAAATATATTTTTTAAAAACTTGAAAAATAATAAAACTTTTAAAATTTAATTAAAAATAACAACAACAACAACAACAACAACAAATAACAGCCATAACTGGTTTGGCTCAGTGGACAGAGCCTCGGCCTGCGGACTGAAGGGTCCCAGGTTCGATTCCAATCAAGGGCACGTATCTTGGCTGCAGGCACATCCCAAGTAGGGGGTGTGTAGGAGGCAGCTGATCAATGTTTCTCTCTCATCGATGTTTCTAGCTCTCTATCCCTCATCCTTCCTCTCTGTAAAAAATCAATAAAATATATTTAAATAAATAAATAAATAATAACAATACAAAACCAGGGCACAGAACTGCCGGGCTGGCACTGTGTGTGTTGTGTTTCCTTTCAGACACATCTCAAGAACAAGCTTTTCAAACATCCAGGCTGTTTTTAGACCCTCACTGTAGACGGTGCGATCACAGGCCTGAGCCCAGTGTGTGTCTGTGTCTCTGTGTGTGTGCGTGTGCGTGTGTGTGCGTGCGGGTGATAATTCCCCACAACGGGGCTGCTGGGAGCCTCTCCTGAGCTCCTGAGAGGAATGTGTGGCTCACACAGGAGGTGTGCAATGAATGGCTAACACTGTGGGCAGAGCAATCCCTGTGTATTGATCCTGACTGGAGTCTTTTGCTGTCCTGCACGTTTTATAAAGTCCTGCTGTTGGCCAAAACCGGTGTGGCTCAGTGGATAGAGCGTCGGCCTGCAGACTGAAGGGTCCCAGGTTCGATTCCGGTCCAGGGCATGGACCTTGGTTTGTGGGAACATCCCCAGTAGGGAGTGTGCAGGAGGCAGCTGGTGGATGATTCTCTGCCATCGATGTTTCTCTCTATCCTTCTCTCTTCCTCTCTGTAAAAAAAAATCAATAAAAATATATTTAAAACACACACACACACACACACACACACACACACACAAAAAAAAAACCCACTTCATGTCTGTGGGCAGAGCAATCCCAAGAGCTCATTTTTTATTGATCCTGACCAGAGTCTCTTGCTATCCTGCATGTTTTATAAAGTTCAACAAACGCCAATCTAACCTCATACCCTGACCCTAGGGGTACAGACCCCCCACCCCCCAGCCTTCTAGAGCTGAGCATCCCACTCCCCCGCCCCCCCCCCCGCACCCCCGCAGGAGCAGAGACGTGTTTGAAATAAAGTTTATTGAAGTTTCTGTTCGGTATTTACATATGATACACGGTAAAGAACAGAGCCAGGCCCCCCCACCCTCCCCTCCACCCCCCTTCCCCCCCCCCCAGCCTCGTTAAAAATCGCTGCGTAAAGACGAGTTAACTGCTCCGGCCCCGCCCCCCGCCCCCCCAAGATGCGAACTAAAAGCCCCCGCCCCGCCCGGCCTCCCCCCCACCCCGGGGGCCCTGCTGCCTCCGTGTACGACGCTGTGCTACCTCGTCCTCCTCCCCTGACAAGGGGCGTGGGGGGACGAATTTCTGGGACCCCCCAAAAAAAATCTGTCCAAGGGGGAGGACGGACCCTTGAAAGAGAGAGGCCAGAGTTTGGGGTCTGAGGTGGGGGAGGGGGGACTTCAATGATGGGGGTAGGGGGGTGGGGGGAGGGGGAGGTGCCAGAAAAAATGGAAGACTTCGAGGTTTGGGGGGTGTGGACCCCCGCTACTGTCTCTCCCTCCCCCGACGGGGCCTCGAGGGGGCAGAGGCGGGCGCAGGTGTGGGGACGGCGCGGGGTCCCCCTCCTGGGTGGGGTGCGGGGCCGGGGGCGCCCAGGGGTTTGGGGCGGGGGGGGGGGCGGACAGGAGGGAGGAGACGGGTCAGAGGAGGAAGGGGAGGAAGGGAGAGAAGCGAAGGGCAGCAGAGAAGCAAGAACACTAGTCAGACGGCAGGTGGCCCCCAGGAGGCCGAGAGGAAAAAGGGGGGCTCCCCGGGAGCAGAGAATGTGGGGGAGACAGGATCAACCCGACCCACCGCCTCCAGGCCCCCCTCCTCCGCTCCCCCCGCGTGTGGGCGCAGCAAAGAGGCCCGTCCCTGCCCACCAGGACCCCCAAGATCTGGGGATGGGAGGGGGCGTGAGACGGGGCCAGGACACAGACAAGGGGGGGCAGCAGGGAGAAGAGGATGGCTGGCATTCCTGGCGGCTGCCAGACCCCGATCTCCAGCCCAGCGCCCCTTTGGGAAGGCGGCAGGTGGGGGCGCGATGGAACCCAGAGGCTGGACTAGGCCGGGGAGGCGGGGCCAGGGAGGGGGCGTGGCTTCGGAGAAAGGGGCGGGGACTGGAGGCGGTGGCTTCAGAGAAAGGGGCGGGGACTATGGGGCGTGGTTTCTGAGAAAGTGGGCGGTACTGTAGGGCGTGGCTTCAGAGAAAGGGGCAGGGTTAGAGGGGCGTGGCCGTTTTGAAGCGACGGGCTCAATGGTGTGGGAGGGGATGGCCAGGAAAGGGGGCGGGGTTGTGGACAAGGAGGCGGGGTTATGGTGATGGGTGTGGTCACTGGGGCGAGGGCGGGGCCACAGCCAGAGCGGCGTCCTGGTGGGGCGGGCGCAGCGGAGTCCCCGGGAGCCAGGGAGCCGCGCTGCTGGGAGGGGGCTCTCCGGGGAGGAGGGGAGGAGGAGGGGGCTCCCCGGGAGGAGGGGGGCTCCGCGGGGAGGAGGGGAGGAGGAGGGGGCTCCCCGGGGAGGAGGGGGGGCTCCGCGGGGAGGAGGGGGCTCCGCGGGGAGGAGGGGTCATGTCAGGGGAGGAGGGGGGCTCCGCGGGGAGGAGGGGAGGAGGAGGGGGCTCCCCGGGAGGAGGGGGCTCTCCGGGGAGGAGGGGAGGAGGAGGGGCTCCGCGGGGAGGAGGGGTCATGTCAGGGGAGGAGGGGGGCTCCCGGGGGGGTGGGGCCTCCGCGGGGAGGAGGGGGCTCCGCGGGGAGGAGGGGAGCTCCGCGGGGAGGAGGGGGGCTCCGCGGGGAGGAGGGGTCATTTCAGGGGAGGAGGGGGGCTCCGCGGGAGGAGGGGTTCCCGGGAGGAGGGGTTCCCGGGGAGGAGGGGGTGCTCCCAGGGGAGGAGGGGTTTCCCCGGGGAGGTGGATGGGGTTCCCGGGGAGGGGGGGGCTCCTTGGGGAGGACAAAGTTCCCCGGGCGGAGGAGGGGGCTCCCCGGGAAGAGGGGGGCTCCCCGGGAGGAGGGGGGCTCCCCGGGAGGGGGTTCAGCAGGGCGAGGTGGAGATGTGCAGGTGGTCCGGGTACTTGATGGCCGGAGGGTAGTTCTGCGTCATCTGGATGGACACGTCGCTGGAGATGTCGGAGGGGCTGCGGCCGCGGCGCCAGGACTCCGGCTGCAGGAACTGGCCCGAGTAGTCGGAGCAGTCGCTGAGGCGCGGGCGGTAGAAGGCGGGGTGCGGGCGGTACATCTCCTCCTCCGCGTAGCGCTTGGTGAACAGGTACACGGACATCACGCCGGCCCCCTGCGGGAGACACCGTCCAGACCCCGGGACCCGGAGCCAGGCCCCTGCCTCCTCCCTCAGACCTCCCCTCCCCAGCCCTCCTCCCTCAGACCCAGGAGCCCAGGCCCCTGCCTCCTCCCTCAGACCCAGTAGCCCAGGCCCCAGCCCCTCCTCCCTAAGACCCAGGAGTCCAGGCCCCCAGCCCTCCTCAGTCAGACCCAAGAGCCCAGCCCTCCTCCCTCAGACCCAGGAATCAGGCCCCTGCCTCCTCCCTCAGACCCCCCCTCCCCAGCCCTCCTCCCTCAGACCCAGGAGCCCAGGCCCCAGCCTCTCCTCCCTTAGACCCAAGAGTCCAGGCCCCCAGCCCTCCTCCCTCAGACCCAGGAACCCAGGCCCCCAGCCCCTCCTCCCTCAGACCCAGGAACCCAGGCCCCCAGCCCTCCTCCCTCAGACCCAGGAGTCCAGGCCCCCAGCCCTCCTCCCTCAGACCCAGGAGTCCAGGCCCCCAGCCCTCCTCAGTCAGACCCAAGAGCCCAGCCCTCCTCCCTCAGACCCAGGAATCAGGCCCCCAACCCTCCTCCCTCAGACACAGGCCCCCAGCCCTCCTCCCTCAGACCCAAGAGTCCAGGCCCCAGCCCCCTCCTCCCTCAGACCCAGGAGCCAGGCCCCCAGCCCTCCCCATGCTCAGCTCCCCGTGGGCCCGGGACATCACCTCTTTGAGGAGGAAGGAGGAGGCGGCAAAGGCGAAGGACCAGCCGTAGCGGTAGTGGAAGTACTGCTCCGAGCTGCTGGGCCGGTTCATGACCTCGTCGTTGATGCTGGAGATGTACAGGACCAAGCCCACCACCAGGGAGAGGCCTGCGGGCAGAGGGCGCCCATGGTCCGCCAGCCGTGACCCTCCCCCAGTTGCATCCCTCCCCCTTTCCCTCCTCCTCCCACCGCGGCTCTCTCCCTCTCCTCTCCACGCTGGCCTGGTCTAATGTCTATCTTTTAATTTTTTATATTTTTTAAATATATATTTTATTGATTTTTTACAGATGGAAGAGAGTGGGATAGAGAGTTAGAAACATCGATGAGAGAGAAATATCGATCAGCTGCCTCCTGCACATCCCCCCAATGGGGATGTGCTTGCAGCCAAGGTGCATGCCCTGGACCGGAATTGAACCTGGGACCTCTAAGTCCACCGGCTGATGCTCCATCCCCTGAGCCAAACTGGTCTCAGCTAATGTCTCTCTCTTTAAAAATAATATGTTTTCTTGCCCTGGCCAGCTTGGCTCAGGGGATAGAGCATCAGCCTGCGGACTGAGGGGTCCCGGGTTCGATTCCGGTCAATGGCATGTACCTTGATTTGCAGGCACATCCCCCGTGGAGGGGGTGCAGGAGGCAGCTGATGGATGTTTCTCTCTCATCGATGTTTCTAACTCTCTGTCCCTCTCTTTTTTCTCTGTAAAAAAAAATCAATTAAGAAGATATTTTTTTAAAGTTGAAAATATTTTTTCACAAGATGTTCTGGCGAGGCAGGGGGACGGACACTCGCCTATGTTGCTGGAGGAGAGTTTGGCCACAGCTAATAACACCACAGAGGCATTGGTCCTTGAACCCAGCAACTTCACTCCTAGGAATTTCCCCTCAGGACGTCTGCCCAGCGACGGGAAAGCTCACAGGCACAAGTCGATTCGCCCCAGCAGTGCTCGCAGCGGCAAAATACCAGAAAGCGCCCAGATGCCCTCGATTCATGCACTGATCTATGAAGCATCACGCACAGGGTCCCGAGCCACCGTGCGAGGAGGAGGAGCCGATAGAGATGGAATTCACTGACAGTTCAGGCTACATCACTAAGTAGGAAAAAAATGGGAGGGGAGGGGGCTTGCTTGTTTGAATCAGTGGATAGAGCGTTGGTCTGTGGACTGAAGGGTCCCAGGTTCGATTCCAGACAAGGACACATGCCCGGGTTGCGGGTTTGATCCCCAGTGGGGGGCGTGCAGAACACAGCCGATCCATGATTCTCTCTCATCATGGATGTTTCTATTTCTCTCTCCCTCTCCCTTCCTTTCTGAAATCAACAAAAATATATTTAAAAAAATAAAAAAGAAGGGTACACTAGAACACATATATGAATACATTTTTGTGGGAAGAGACAAGGAAAAGGAAAACAAATGCAGCTGACGACCTGCAGTGGGCAGGTGAGAGCAGGAAGGAAGCCACAGGGAGGGAGTGACCCGCCCTTGAACTTGGAGCTTTGGAAGGATGCCAATATGTTCCCTGTTCAAACGACACATTCAGCAAGGATGGAGAAACCTAACATCCAATATGAACACACAGAAGCAAAACCAACTCCACGTCTCATGAGGCCAATGACAGGAGGGGGGACGCAGTACCCCAATAACACGCATAGAGAGCTCTGATTCCAGCTCTCAGGCCGAAGACAGGAAGGCCTGCAGAGAAACAGTGAACCAAGCGGAACAGGGTTCCTGTCAGAGTGGTCCAGGGATAACGGTTCTGAAATTATTCTGTGCACGTTGTAGGGTTGAGCAAGTGTGCAAATATCTTGGTGTTTGGGGAAGCTAGCAATCTCTTCTTTCTCTGAAGATAACCCTGGCCAGTTTGGTTCAGTGGATAGAGCGGATTCTCTTTCAGCATTGATGTCTCTCTCTCTCTCTCTCTCTCTTTCTCTCTCTCTCTCTCTCTCTCTCTCTCTCTCTCTCTCTCATCTCTCTCTCTCTCTCCTTCTCTCCCTCTCTCTTCCCCTCTGAAATCAGTAAAGATATATATATTTAAATCTTTTTAAAATACATTTCATTGATTTTTTTTACAGATGAAGGGAGAAAGATAGAGAGCTAGAAACATCGATGAGTGAGAGTCATCAATCAGCTGCCTCTTGTACGCCCCCTACTGGGGATGTGCCCGCAACAAAGGTACATGCCCTTGACTGGAATCGAACCCCAGGACCCTACAGTCCACAGGCTGACGCTCTATCCACTGAGCCAAACCGGTTTCAACAAGATATATTTTTTAAAGAGTAATTCTTTGCAGAGTTAGAAAACACCATTTGCACCCTAACCGGTATGGCTCAGTGGATAGAGCATCGGCATGCGGACTTAAGGGTCCTGGGTTCGATTCCGGTCAGGGGCATACACCTTGGTTGCGGGCACATCCCCAGTAAGAGGTGTGCAGGAGGCAGCTGATCGATGTTTCCCTCTCATCGATGTTTCTAGCTCTCTCTTCCTCTCCCTTCTACTCTGTAAAAAACTCAATAAAATATATTTTTTTAAAAAGAAAAGAAGCCGAAACTGGTTTGGCTCAGTGGATAGAGCATCGGCCTGTGGACTGAAAGGTCCCAGATTTGATTCCGATCAAGGGCATGTACATTGGTTGCAGGCACATCCCCAGTAGGGGGTGTGCAAGAGGCAGCTGGGCGATGTTTCTCTCTCATCGACGTTTCTAGCTCTCTATCTCTCTCCCTTCCTCTCTGTAAAAAAATCACTAAAATATATTTTTTTAAAAAGAAAAAAAAAACTCCACTTATAACCTTCGGAGCCACAGGAGCTCCCTCGGCTGCAGAGGAGCCTGCCCCACACCCGCTGCCCCGCGGGTGGAGGCGGGCGGGCATCGCCAGCACCGCAGGCTGACCCCACGGCCGCCGTGGCGCTCCCGCTGAAAATGTGTGACCCGCATCGGCTCCCGGGGAATCTGGGGCACCGTACACACCGCCGGCTGCTCCTTCAAACAGCCGGCAGGAAAGATCGTTTTTTTTAAAGGCACAGGAACGCCACCAAAGAGGAAAGGAGATGACGGACGAGAGAGCCTTTTTATGGAGGCGGTGCTGAGAGGCTTCCACAGCCCCCCGGGAAAGCAGACCCACGCGTCACCTGCCTTCCGGCGGCCAAAGACACGGAAATGTCCTAAACGTCCTCGGAAAAGTACGCCCAGGAGCAATGGCCCTGCCCACCGGCCACCATCCGGTCCCCCCGACCCCCGGGTCAGCCGCGGAGAAGACAGGAGACAGCAATACACTGTGTTCATGGCGGATGTCAAGGCCAAGGAGCACCAGGTCAGACAGGCTGGGGAGAAGCCCTGTGACCTTGGCGTGGCCAAGGTCAACGCCCGGATCAGGCCTGATGGAGAGGAGAAGGCTTATGGTCCACGGGCTTCTGACGCGGATGCTTTGGATGGTGCCAACGACATTGGGATCCTGTAACCCGAGTCCAGCTGCCTCATGCTAAATATAAACGTGTCACACTGAGCCCTGGCCGGTGTGGCTCAGTGGATAGAGCCTCGGCCTTCGGACTCAAGGGCCCCAGGTTTGATTCTGGTTATGGGCATTAAAAAAAAAAAAAAAAAAAAAAAAAAAAAAAAAAATCAAATCAGCTAAAACCAACCGGTTTGGCTCAGTGGATAGAGTGTCGGCCTGCAGACTGAAAGGCCCCAGGTTCGATTCGGGTGAAGGGCATGTACCTTGGTTGCGGGCACATCCCCAGGAGGGGTGTGCAGGAGGCAGCTGATCGATGCTTCTCTCTCATCGGTGTTTCTAACTCTCTATCCCTCTCCGTTCCTGTCTGTAAAAAAATCAATGAAATATATTTAAAAAAATAAAATCAAGCATGACCTGATCAACAGCAGTGTTACAGGAAAAATGCAGGGCTTGATGGCCATACAAAACCTTGACCCAGGGAAACAATTGGGAAAATGTGGAACGTGGGAATGCTACGACACAGCTGCCCAGATTTCTTCCACATATAAATGGCAAGGAAACAACAGGAGAGGGGCTGGCATGGGCTAAAAGAGGCTTCGAAGCCCTGGCCGGTTTGGCTCAGCAGTCAGAGCATCGACCCACGGAATGAAGGGCCTTGGGTTCAATTCCTGGTCAAGGGCATGTACCTCAGTGAGGGTTTTGCTCCCTGGCCCCAGTCAGGGCACAAGCAGGAGGCAACCAATCCCTGTGTTTCTTTCCCATGGATTTTTTTTCTCCCCTCCCTCTCCCCTCCCACCTTCTCCCTCCCTTCCACTCCATCTGAAAATCAATGGGAAAATATCCTCGGGGTGAGGATTTCCAAAATCCTATCTAATAAAAGGGTACTATGCAAACTGACTGTCACTACAACTCACAAGATGGCTGCCCCCATGTGGACACAAGATGGCCAGCAGAGGAGGGCAGTTGGGAGGGACCAAGCCTGCAAGGGAGGGAAGTTGGGGGTGATCAGGCTGACAGAGGAGGGAAGTTGGGGGCGACCAGGCCTGCAGGGGAGGGCAGTTAGGGGTGACCAAGCCAGCAGGGGAGGACAGTTAGGGGCAATCAGGCTGGCAGGGGAGTGGTAAGGGGGTGATCAGGCTGGCAGGCAGAAGGGATAAGGGGCAATCAGGAAGGCAGGCAGGCGAGCAGTTGGGAGCCAGCAGTCCTGGATTGTGAGAGGGATGTCTGACTGCTCGTTTAGGCCATATCCTGGGTCGCATCCCTCGAGGTTTCCCTGATTGGAGAGGGTGCAGGCTAGACTGAGGGACACCACCACCCCCATGCACGAATTTTGTGCACCAGGCCTCTAGTAAATAAATAGTAAATAAACAAAGGAGGCTCTGGGGGTCTATCCACTGAACACACAGGTGGAACACGGATCCTCACTTACACCAAAGTAACTGCATTTAATAAAAATTTTAAAAAGGCGTTTATGAGACAGGCGGGAACGGTGAACGCTTACTAGATATTAAACGATAGGAAGCTACTATGCTTAATTGTTCGGGCGCGACTATGGCGCCGTGACAACCATGTTAAATAACAAAACGAGCTTTCGGGGGGTGGGGGGGGACGCCAGGATGTTGGTGGGGATGGTGCCTGGAGGCGCGAGGCTGGCTTTCAGATTTACGTGGCGAGGTGTCGAAGGGAGGGAGGGCGGTGCGGCTCAAAAAAAGGCTCACCATATGCTGATCATTGTCGCGACTCGGCGGAGGAGAGCGTGGCATTTCTGTCTAGACTATTCTCTCCCTGTGTTTTTATAACGGAGTACATTCCCAAAAGCCGGTGTTGTAAATAAAATAGTAGGAGAGCTAGGCTGGGCTAAAAGAGACATCGCCCCAATACTGTGTGTGAACCTGGATTACATTCTGGTTGTGGGAGAAAGCTAGAAAAGGTTTTTTTTTAATTTTTTTAATTTTTTTTTTTAAAGAACTCTCGCTTTTGCCCTAACCGGTTTGGCTCAGTGGGTAGAGCGTCGGCCTGCGACTGAAAGGTCCCAGGTTCGATTCTGGTCAAGGGCATGTACCTTGGTTGGGAGTACATCCCCAGTAGGGGTGTGCAGGAGACAGCTGATGTATGTTTCTCTTCCCTCAATGTTTCTGACTCTCTATCCCTCTCCCTTACTCTCTGTAAAAACTCAATAAAATATATTTTAAAAATAAAATAAAATAAAGAACTCTCACTTTTTAAAAATTGATTTTAGAGAAAGAGGAAGGGGGGAGAGAGACAGAGAAACATCGATGTGAGAGAGAAACGTCAATCAGTTGCCTCCCGTACATGCCCCGATGGGAGATTGAACCAGAAACCTAGGTATGTGCCCTGACCAGAATTGAACCTGCAACTTTTTGGTCTATGGGACAGCACTCCAACTAACTCAGCCACCGGCCAGGGGGGAAAGGCGGTCTTGAAACCACTGGGACGGTTTGAAAATGGAATCCATCATCTGATGCAATAACTGTAAAGTCTCAGGGTGTGGTATAGTGTTCCAGTTATATAAAAGCATGTCCTTATTCTTAGAGATACAAGCTAAATGTCTCTAGATAAACCATCCTGATGCCTGCAACTTACTTTCAAATGGTAAATTTTTTAATACATATTTTATTGATTTTTTACAGAGAGAAAGGGAGAGTTAAACATCGATGAGAGAGAAACATCGAACAGCTGCCTCCTGCACACCCCCCACTGGGGATGTGCTCACAACCAAGGTACATGCCCTTGACCGGAATCAAACCTGGGACCTTTCAGTCCACAGGCCGACGCTTTATCCACTGAGCCACACTGGTTTCAGCTCAAATGGTAAATTTTTGTTTTAAAAATGTGTGTGTGTAGCAGGAGAGAGAGAGAGAGAGAGAGAGAGAGAGAGAGAGAGAGAGAGAGAGAGAGAGAATGGGAGAGTGTTAACAAAATGCAGGATCCAGGGGGGAATGGTATACCAGCATTCATCGTATTTTCTGTAGATTTTTAAAAGTTTCCACTAAAACATCAGAGTGACTGGGGTGAGGTAAAACCATGACCTACTTCTTTTTTCTTTTTTTGTAGCATTATCACCCCCTGACATTCCATTCTCCACCTTCTTGTGCGTTTTCCTCACACATCTCCCCCACCTCCACCGGGATGCTTAAAACTAGCCTGCCTTGTTCACACCGCGTTCCTAGCGCCTAGCACACGACCCAGCACATCATAAAATACCGGTTGAGTGGAGGAGGGTACTTGCTTTGCAACTGGGACTGCCAGCAAAAGCTCCTAGTTGCTTCCCCCTTTAAAAAAAAAAAAAAACCCACAATATATTTTTATTGATTTCAGAGAGGGAGAGGAAGAGAGAGAAATAGAAACTGCCTCTTGTGCCCTCCACATTGGGGGTCGAGCCCACAACCGGGGCCTGTGCCCTGAACGGGAATCGAACCGTGACCTCCTGGTTCAGAGGTCGATGCTCAGCCCAGGCGTCCTCAAACTTTTTAAAGTGGGGGCCAGATCACGGTCCCTCAGAGAGCTGGAGGGCCGGACTATATGAACTATTAATTCCTACTGTAACACCTGGGCTGCGCTCACTGCCCAAAAAACCTGGCGGGCCGGATCAGACTCCTCTGCGGGCCGCATGTGGCCCGCGGGCCGTTGTTTGAAGACCCCTGCTAGGCCATGTCGGCTGTGCTGCTTCCCCTTTTGAATCCACTCTAACTCCTCCCCCCATCTCTCATCCTCCTTGAAGAATGAATCCTTTCTGAGCTTCCACAGCACGCTGAACCTCTGGCACCCCATAATTTTGACGTTTTTAAAGAGGGGGCCTGATGAAACCGGTTTGGCTCAGTGGTAAAGCGTCGGCCTGCGGACTGAAGGGTCCCGGGTTCGATTCCGGTCAAGGGCAGGTACCTTGGTTGCGGGCACAGCCCCAGTGGGGGATGTGCAGGAGGCAGCTGATCGATGTTTCTCTCTCACCGATGTTTCTGACTCTCTATCCCTCTCTCTTCCTCTTTGTAGAAAATCAATAAAATATATTTTAAACACAACAACAGCAACAAACAATGTCAGGCCCTAGCCAGTTTGGCTCAGTGGATAGAGCACTGACCCGAGAACTGAAAGGTCCCAGGTTCAGTTCCGGTCGGGGCACATGCCCGGATTGTGGGTTCGATCCCCAGTGGGAGACTTGCAGGAGGCAGCCGATCCATGATGCTCTCTCATCGTGGGTGTTTCTACCTCTCTCCCTCTCTTCCTTCATCTCTGAAATCAGTATATATATAATATTTTATTGATTTTTTACAGAGAGGAAGGGAGAGAGAGAGTTAGAAACATCAACGAGAGAGAGGTACATCAATCAGCTGCCTCCTGCACACCCCCCACCGGGGATGTACCCGTAACCAAGGTACATGCCCTTGACCAGAATCGAACCCGGGACCCTTCAGTCCGCCGAGACTCTATTCACTGAGCCAAACCGGTTTCAGCAAATATATATATATATTTATTTTTATTTATTTTTAAATGTCAGGAGGTAGCTTATTCTTGGCCATTTCACAGTGGCAGCTATGGTTCAAAAGTAACCTTCTTTCTCCCCCTCCTTTATTCCCTTCCTTTCCTCCACTTCTTCCCTTTCTCTGTAACCCAACCCTCTCCCCACCCCCGCCACTGCGGCTGTTCCAGAAGGCTCAGGCCACGACAGGCAGGAGCAGAATGGAGACTCCCTGGCATTGGAACTGTAGCGGTTCAGCACCACGGAGAGCACACCGCGCGTCTACCTAAGCCCTCACTGCTTCTTCCCAGGGTTTTCATCCCGCGCTGGGAATCCCACCTCAGACCAGGCACCTCCTTCTCTCCCTTCCCTTGAAAAAGGCCCTCTCGCCCCTTCAGCATCATCCACTTGGACGGCACCTCCTATCGGAACCCTGGTCACCAGGCCCTGAGCGGTCACTGTCACTCATCTATCCCTTCTACAAATCCTTCGGTGCGAGCTTTGTGCCAGCCACTCAACCCCGGCTGGGCAGGTGTTTGTAAAGGTCCTGGTGTTCGGAGTTTACATGCTGGGAGGAGGGGATGGGAAACAAGTAAGATGATGTAGCAGAGTAGGAATCGTGCTGAGAAACAAATATAAGCCCTGACCGGTTTGGCTCAGTGGATAGAACATCGGCCTGCGGACTGAAGGGTCCCGGGTTCGATTCCGATCAAGGGCATGTACCTTGGTTGTAGGCACAACCCCAGTAGATGGGGTGTGCAGGAGGCAGCTGATGGATGTTTCTCTCTCATCAATGTTTCTAATTCTCTATCCCTCTCTCTTCCTCTCTGTGAAAAAAATCAATAAAATATATTTTAAAAACATCCTCACTCAAAGATCAGGGGGGTTGAATATGGAGAGCTAGTGAGGTAGGGGCTTAAATGTGCATTTTCTTTTTTATGTTTTTATTGATTGCAGAGAGAGATAGAGAGAGAAATATCCATGATGAAAGAGAATCATTGATTGAGTGCCTCCTGCACGCCCCCTACTGGGGATGGAGCCCACAACTCGGGCATCCGGGCCTGTGCCCTGACCAGGAATGGAACCATGACCTCCTGGCTCATAGGTCGACACTCAACCCCTGAGCCACGCCAGACGGGCGAGATGTGCATTTTCAAGGAGTAGCAGGCTGCTCGGACCCCTGCATAAGGCCCCTCCTTGGTTTGCCCATTTTTCCTCTCGTCCATCCCCAACACAGGCCCTGAGGAGCATTTAATACCCAGTGTGACCTTGTTCCTCTCCTGTCCCAACACTTGTACTGCCTTTCCCAGGACTGAATGCCAACCCCACAGAGCAACTCCTCCCTCTCTCTCTCTCTCTCTCTCTCTCTCTCTCTCTCTCTCCCTCTTGGTTTCCTCATTGACACATGAGGTGGTTGGACCAGATTGTCTCATTCCAAGATCTAAGATATTGGTGCTATTGTCCATCCTTTCTTCTCTTTTTATTATATATATATATATATATATATATATATATATATATATATATATATAAAATTTATATAAATATACCTCCTATATAATAAAGATGTAATATGTAAATGGTTGTTATACCATGAAGCATAACAACCAACTGAGTGATGACCCAATCACAGACCAGCAGGAGGGTGGAGAGCGAGCTACAGGAGAGGTCAGGGCAGCAAGCTATTGGGGGGAGGGGAAGAGGGCAGGTGGAGCCATAGGAGGGTGGGACAGTGGGCAGAGAGCAAACTACTGGTTCACAGATTTGTGCACAGGGCTACTAGTGTGTGTGCATATATATACATATTATTGATTTCAGAGAGGGAAAGATAGAAGCATCCATGATGAGAGAATCACGAACCGGCTGCCTCCTGCACGCCCCCTACTGAGTATCGAGCCTGTAACCCTGGCATGTGCCCCTGACCGAAATCAAACCCAGACACGTCAGTCCACAGGCCGACGCTCTACCTACTGAGCCAACCCAGCCAGGCTAGGGCCTTTCCTCTCTTTTTAAATCACCTTCGTTTTTATGGTTCCCGGAGGCAGGAGAGTGCCTCGGTCTGGCTTCCACGATGGAGCAACTTAGCCTCGGATTGCTTCTGTTTCCTCAACTGGAAAACCAGAATGATAATGCTGTCTGCCTCCCCAGGTGGAGAAGAGGAGATAGTTTAATTTGCATACAGCGTGTAGGACTTCCCCAGACCGCGGCACTCAGTCAAGTGTTTCTTATCAGGCTTGTTGCTGTCACCGTGTGTCCATAGTCATTGTATAATAGATCAGGCCCCGGACTGGCCCTTCACACTCACGATCGAGACCCGTGGTCGGCAAACTCATCAGTCAGCAGAGCCCAATACCAACAGGACAACAACTGAAATTTCTTTGGAGAGCCACATGCTTTAAACTTCAACTTCTTCTAACGCCACTTCTTCAACACAGACTCGCCCAGGCCGTGGTATTTTGTAGAAGAGCCACCCTCCAGGGGCCAAAGAGCCGCATGTGGCTCGAGAGCCGCGGTTTGCCGACCACTGATCTAGACCACAGGAATCCACAAACTATGATTTGTCCCACCCTATGTGTGTGTGTGTGTGTGTGTGTGTGTGTGTGTGTGTACAGGTTGTGAGCTAAGCCTGGTTTTTACACTAGTTCTTTCTCTTTTTTTTAATTGATTTTTTACAGAGAGGAAGGGAGAGAGAGAGTAGGAAACATCTATGAGAGAAAGTCATTGATCAGCTGTCTCTTGCACGCCCCCTACTGGGGATGTGCCCGCAACCAAGGTGCATGCCCCTGACCGGAATCGAACCTGGGACCCTTCAGTCCGCAAGCTGACGCTCTATCCACTGAGCCACACCGGTTTCGGCTGGTTTTACACTATTTCGTGGTGTGGAGGAAAAAATTTCATTCCATTACCATTTATCCGTCCTTTACCCACTCCAACCTCCCTCTACCTGTTCACCTCCCCACTTTCTCTCTGGTCAGCACCATACTTTTGTCCGGGGTGGTGAACACACCATGCAATATACAAGTGATGTACTAGGGAATTGTACCCCTGAAACCTGTATAATTTTACTAACCAATGCTAATAAATTCAATTTTAAACATTTAAAAAATATTTTGTGACCCATGCAAATGACATTAATTTTGAATTTTAGGGTCCATGAATAATAGCCCTGGATGCTTTGGCCACTACAATCCTATGGTCCACAAAGTCTGAGATATTTGCTATCTAAAGTTTGATTGGGGGTGGGGGGCAGGCGAGGGCTGGAAGAGGTTTATTGGGGGGGGGGGGACCTATGTAATACTTTCAAAAAATAAAAATAAAAAACAGCCGTAATCTGTGTGGCTCAGTGGATAAAGCATTGGCCTGAGGACTGAAAGGTCTCAGGTCTGATTCTAGTCAAGGGCATGTGACTTGACTGCAGACACATCCCCAGTGGGGGGTGTGCAGGAGGCAGCTGATCAATGTTTCTCTCATCGATGTTTCTAACTCTCTATCCCTCTCCCTCCCTTTCTGAAAAAAAAAATCAATAAAATATATTAAAAATTCTTAATGTATTAAAAATAAAAATAAAAGGTTTGCCGACCCCTGGCCAAGATTTGTTCTCTCTACAGCTCGGCAAAGGAAGGCTGCGGCACATACAGGACGTGCTGGGATTTGAACCCCGGTCTCTCCGGGCTCACAGCCGCAGGCTCCTTCGGCCGCTCCACCCACCACCTTAAATGTACGTGACGGGTCCCTTGCGGTGGGCGCAGAGGTCAGAGCCGGCGGAAGGACCCGGAGAAACGGGTTCGGGCCGTGGAGCTCCATGCCCTCCCCGTGACTCTGCTGTTACATCAGAGGCCTGACTCCCGGCCAGGACAGCCTCATCGATCCTCAGCTTGACCTTGGCCAGGCCGGGGCTGCTGCCTCTGGGGTGAGCGTGGCGTTTGTGCCGGGAAAAACCCTCCAGTCCAGCCCCAGCCCGGCCCCTAGGCCTCCTCCACTATTTCCAGCCCTGTGAGCCGCGCACCACGGGGTTTCCTTGGGGCGGACCGAAGGACACCTCCATGCCCCACTTCCTGCCGCTCTCTAGGCCACGATTTTTTTTTATTTTTTTTCCATCTGGAAAATGAAAGGATCTGAGCCCTTCCGCTCCGACACTCCCGGACGCTGACAGCCGAGGCGTCTTATTTTAGCTCAGTGTCTGGCTCCACAGGCTGTGATTCAAGTCTGCACAGAGGTTGCACGCACCCCGGTTTCCCCGGGAAAAAAGTCTCGTCAGTTCCAGTGGGAGGCACGAGGGAGGCTGCGCCTAGAGACAGCCGAGGGAGGGGCGGGAAGGGGGCATGGGGGAGGGCATATCCAAAAAAAACCAAAAATCTTTACATGCAGAGGCATGCTGGCAGCTGCCCACTGCCTTCCCTGGCAGAGAGAGGTGGACAAGGAACCCGAAAGCTGGTGGACCTTGAGGCTCGGGCAAGGGGTCAGAGCCCCGCACCCACCATCTAGGGCCGTGGTCGGCAAACAGCGGCTCGCGAGCCACATGCGGCTCTTTGGCCCTTTGAGGGTGGCTCTTTTTTTTTAATATATATATATGTTATTGATATTTTACAGAGAGGAAGGGAGAGGGATAGAGAGCTAGAAACATCGATGAGAGAGAAACGTCGGCCAGCTGCCTCTTGCACACCATCCACCGAGGATGTGCCCGCAACCAACGTACATGCCCCCGACCGGAATCGAACCCGGGACCCTTCAGTCCGCAGGCCAACGCTCTATCCACTGAGCCACACCGGCTTCGGCTGGAGGGTGGCACTTCCACAAAATACCGCCTGGCCTGGGCGAGTCTGTGTGGAAGAAGTGGCGTTAGAAGAAGTTGGAGTTTAAAAAACGTGGCTCTCCAAAGAAATTTCAATCATTGTGCTGTGGATATTTGGCTCTGGGGACTCATGAGTTTGTCCACCACTGGTCTAGTGGAGACAAAGGGAGCTGAAGCAACCTGTTAGTCTCATGTAAGTCCTCGCTGACGGGCTGCTATCAAGCAGCTGGTACTGGAAATTGCCTGCCTGAGGGCTATAGAGGTGGCTCCCAAACCTGAATAAAAGAGATCGCAAGGCCAGAGCAGAGCGTAGTCCTCTCTTGGGCTCCTGCCTGGCCCCCGATTCCCACATTAATATCTCCTTGTCTAGTCTCTTTCATTTGCGTGCGGCCTCCTCCAGAGCCCGAACCCTGAACCTGACCCCAGAACCACGTGGGACGTGAGGGGACACTCGAAGAGGCACCTCAAATCGGGGAGCGGCCCTAGCTGGTTTGGACTCAATGGGTAGAGCGTCGGCCTGCGGACTGAAGGGTCCCAGGTTCGATTCCGGCCAAGGGCACATGCCTGGGTTGTGGGCTCGATCCCCAGTAGCGAGGCGTGCAGAAGACAGCCAATCAATGATTCTCTCTCATCATGGATGTTTTTATCTCTCTCTCCCTCTCCCTTCCTCTCTGAAATCAATAATATATTTGTTGGATGGATTGATGGATGATGGATGGATGGATGGAAAGGATGGTGAAAGGATGGATGGCTGGTTGGATGGAGCCAATCAATGATTCTCTCTCATCATGGATGTTTCTATTTCTTTCCCCCTCTCCCATCCTCTCTAAAATCAATAATATATATATATATATATATATATATATATATATATATATATATATATATTTTTTTTTTTTTTTTTTTTTTTTTTTTTTAAGGGGAGCGGATGGGAGCCCCCCGGGGACTGAATGGAAATGAGATGAACAACAGAGTTTGCTCGTAAAATGTCGACTGAATTAAAAGGACCTGAGTGGAGTTTAATTACGTTGAGTCCATCTGAATTGGACCAAAGAGTTGAGTCGGAATGGAGTGGGGTTGGGTAGACCAGATGGCTGGAGTTAAACATGATAGAGCTGCATTGGCCTGGGCTGACCTGGCCTGAGGAGGCCAAACAGCTGCAGCTGGGAAGAGGGGACACCAGGAGGACTCTCCTCCAGGCCTCCGCGGACTCCAGGCCTCAGCCACCAGCTCATGCTGGGAATCTTGGGCGACTCCCTGCACTATTCCGGGCCCCAGTACTCCCAATTTTAAAAAATATATATTTTATTGATTTTTTGCAGAGAGGAAGAGAGAGGGATAGAGAGTTAGAAACATCAATGAGAGAGAAACATCGATCAGCTGCCTCCTGCACACCTCCTACTGGGGATGTGCCCACAACCAAGATACATCCCCTTGATCGGAATCGAACCTGGGACCCTTCAGTCCGCAGGCCGACGCTCCATCCACTGAGCCAAAGCGGTTTCGGCAGTACCCCCGTTTCTATTAAGTGCGCGCTAATAATAACTACCGGGCAGAGATGTCATGGGAAGGGAGTGTGATCATCTGCGCGGAAGAGAGGGAACTAGAGACACATATTGGATTCTAGCTAATGAGATGCACAATGGAATATTTAGGGTAGCGTGTACTGAGGCTGCAACTCGCTTTGAAATGCATTAAATAAATAAATAAATTTTTTAAAAGTGAGATAAAGCCCTGGCTGGGTAGCTCAGTTGGTCAGAGCACCGTCCAGATACATCAAGGTTACAAGTTCGATGCCCCGTCAGGGCACATACAAGAATCAATCAGTGGATGCATAAATAGTGGCACAACAAATCAATTTCTTGCTCTCTTTCTTCCTCTACCTCTTCTCTAAAAGCAATAATGTTTAGATTAAGAAGAAGAAGAAGAAGAAGAAGAAGAAGAGGAGGAGGAGGAGGGGGAGGAGGAGGAGGAGGAGGGGGAAGAGGAGGAGGAGGAGGAGAAGGAGTAGGAGAAGGAGAAGGAGAAGGAGAAGAAAGGTTGACGGATGGATAGAAACACAGATGAACAGATTTGAGACCAATGAAGTCCAATCACAGGGTAATGGTTGACCCTAAGAGGCGGCGCCAACAGTTTTTGCCTTTTCCATTTGAAAGCTTTTCAGAGAAATAAAGAGCCCTGTAATCTCAGGATTAATCCAAAACACAGCCCGTGGAGGCGAAATGCGTGGTGATTTGAGCCCCAGCTCCGCCTCTCCCTGGCTGTGTGTGGCTCTGGGCAAATGGCCTCGTCTCTCCGAGTGTTCGTTTCCCCATCTGTGAAATGGGCCCATCACTAGCGTAGACCTCCCCAGGTCTCAGCCCAGAGCCTGGTACCCGCGAGCACCTCAGAAGCACCGCTAAGACATGGGCGCTGCTCTCTGCGTCTCCCAGGGGAAAAGTGGGGGCTCAGAGAGGTTCGGCCCCTCCTCCAGGACCACTCAGCAAGGGGGTGGCTTCCTTAGCGGGAGAGGGAGCCACCACCTGAACCTAAAACACACACACACACACACACACACACACACACACACACACACACACAGCTCCGCAAGTGCTTTCCTCGGGGCTCACCCGACAGGATGAAGAAGATGCCAGACACGAAGGCCAGGATGGTCCTCTGGGGCCGGATGTGGCCGATGTTGCTGATGACGAAGGCGGTGAACACGAGGAAGAGGCTGACCATGGGGAAGGGGGTGGCTGTGCGAACGGTCTCTGGGGGAGCGGAGAGAGAAGGGGGGGAGTGAGGGGAGGCAATTTGGGGGGCACACCTCCCCAATTCCCCATGACCTCCTCTCCTTGATGGTGACCATCCCCTGTACCCCCTTTGGGTGGCTTTTCTCCTTTCCACAGACTCTTCCCCTTTCTGATTAATTCCACTGCTGACCCTCAGCCTTCACCCAGGCCACGCCCCTTTGGTTTGACCACACCCTTTTTGCGTTGGCCCCTCCCGCCCGTTGTCTAGGCCCCGCCCTGGCCCCGCCCCTCCTCCTTGCCCAGCCACTCTGCCTGCTTTGCAGCCTCCACCCTTCTATCCACCTCCCCACTTCCCCCCTTTCCCTGGTTTTGCCCTTTCTCCCAGGACTGCCCTGTGACCCAGCCCCCCTTGTTCCCCAGCCCCCCCCCGTCCCCCTCACTCAGAATATTCTCCGTATTTTCCGTCACCAAGTTGATCTCGGGTTCGAGGAAATATTCCGAGGCCACGCAGCGACCCTTCTCCCGACCTGAGGGGTGGGGGAGAGGACAGGAAGGCAGGGCTGGAGGAGAGGCAGTCAGGGGCGCCGCGCACAGTGGGGAGAAGCACAGTGGGGAGACCTGGGCTGGGGATGGCTTAGTCCAGTGTTTCCCAAAGTGTGGTACGTGGATCCCCAGGGGTACGGGAAGAGTTTGGTGGGGGTACGCGTTGCACCGGAGTTTGGTGGGGATATGCACTGCCCTGTGCTTAGCTGCACCTAATTCTACGTTCTCATGAGTATGAGGAGTACTCAGCATTACAGAAATGATAGAAGGGGTACACATGTGTCAAAAGTTTGGGAAACACTGGAACCCAAGGGTTAATTAGGGAAGGAGAGGAGCAGGAGGTCTGGGGGCTCCTGTTCTTGGGGGCCCTAGAACCCAGCCTCATGGAAAGAGGCAAGGCTGGAACCCTAGCTCCCAAGTGAGGAGGGACTGTGGGCCCCTGACTCCCGGATCCCTAGAGAGAATCAGGCAGCAGGTGGCTAGATCCCTGGCGTCTCTGTCATCCTTGGAGGCGTGGATTTTTTTTTTTTTTTTAATGCTGTCCGTTCAGCACTGGAGCTGTCCATGGGGCAGGTTCTGAACCTGGATGGCCACCGCTAAGGGAGGCGGGGAGCCTGCGGTTCCCAGGGGGTTAGTTAGGGACCAGGTGATGGTGTGAGCCCTGGGGCCGCTGGAGGCAGGACATGGAATTGGGTGTCCAGGGAGGAATCCATTCTCCAGGACAGAAACTGAATGGGTGCCTGGATCTCTGGAACCCAGAGATGGAACTAAGGATAAGGAGCTGTGGGTTCGCCCAGCGGGTGTGGCTCAGTGGTTGAGCATCGACCTAGGAACCAGGAGGTCACGGTTCGATTCACAACAGGGCACATGCCTGGGTTGTGGGCTCCACCCCCAGTAGGGGGTGTGCAAGAGACAGCTGATCAATGATTCTCTCTCATTTATGTCTCTCTCTCTCTCTCTCTCTCACCAATAAAAATATACTTTTTAGCCCTAGCTGGTTTGGCTCAGTGGATAGAGTGTCGGCATGTGGACTCAAGGGTCTCGGGTTCAATTCCGGTCAAGGGCCCATGCCCAGGTTGTGGGCTCCATCCCCAGTAATGGGGGGGGGGGGGTGCAGGAGGCAGCCAATCAATGATTCTCTCTTATCATTGATGTTTCTATCTCTCTCCCCTCTCCCTTCCTCTCTGAAATCGATTTTAAAAGATTAAAGTAGCCCTCACTGGTTTGGCTCAGCGGATAGAGCATCGGCCTGCGGACTGAAGGGTCCCAGGTTCGATTCCAGTCAAGGGCATGTACCTTGGGTTGCAGGCACATCCCCAGTGGGGAGTGTGCAGGAGGCAGCTGATGGATGTTTCTCTCTCATCAATGTTTCTAGCTCTCTATCCCTCTCCCTTCCTCTCTGTAAAAATCAATAATATATATATATATATATATATATATGCACTTTTTCAAAAAGAGAGAGAACTCTGGGATGCCCCCCAGCCCAGGCAGGGACAGGCGGGCAGAGGGCAGGGCAGGGGCGGGGGTACCTGCAAAGAAGCAGACGCGCCAGAGGCCGGCGTGCAGGGCCATCTTGACCTCGGTGGTCTGGTTCTGCGGCAGCACCGTGCCCTCCTCCATGTAGAGCCAGTAGTCGGTGCTGACCGCGATGCCCACCAGCAGCAGGCCGCACGCGCCAAACACGCTGCTCAGCAGGGTCAGGGCGCGGCTGCTGCAGTGACTCATCCTCAGCGGCGGGGGGCGCCCTGCGGGGCCTGGGGGAGGGAAGCTGTCCTGGAGAAGGTCTGGTGGGACCCCCCCCCCCAGACGCCTCACTCCCAGGTAGCCACCGGGGCTGGCGAACCCCGGCCAGACACAACCAATAACCCCCCAACCCTCTCCCCTTGGATCTCCCTGGATTTGAACTGGTGACACCCAATGTAGGCCTTCACCCCTAGTCCTGAACCTGGCACTGGTCACGTGTACTCTGGCTCTGGATCCTGATTGGAGACCCCCACACACACCAGACAAGGCCCTCCCCCCAGCTCCAGGATATGATTTCCAACCACATGTAGGGACGTGGGTGCAAAATATCATGACTCCAGCCGAAACCCATTTGGCTCAGTGGATAGAGCGTCGGCCTGCGGTCTGAAGGGTCTGGGGTTCAATTCCGGTCAAGGGCATGTACATTGGTTGCAGGCACATCCCCAGTAGAGGGTGTGCAGGAGGCAGCTGATCGATGATTTTCTCTCTCATCGATGTTTCTAATTCTCTATCCCTCTCTCTTCCTCTCCGTAAAAAAATCAATAAAATATGTTATATATATATATATATATATATATATATATATATATATATATAGTGACTCCAACTAGAAATGCAGTTTCTAGGATCCCAACCCCAGAACCAAGCCTTCCAGCCTGACCCTCACGCACTCACCCAAGGCCTGAACCACAGACATCAGACCAGATGGAGCCTGGGCCTGTGACTCAGAAGCTGTGACAGTGATCGATCGATCTGTCATGTCCACCCTGGGGCCAGGCACGCACCCCCAGCCTGGACTCCGAACCCGGAGCAAGCAAGCCATACACAGTGAATACCACCACTCTCCAGCCAGGGCCTGGGCCCTCAGCTCTGGGCCAGGGCCTGGGACTCTGCACCCTGAGTGTTGAAACGTCAGTGCTGGGTACTGAGCAGTGCAGCCTGGATAGAAACCTTGACACAAGCCACCCAACCTGGACTCCATCTGCCGACCCCTTTCTGTTGGGTCCTGTCTCTGAACGGAAACCAGAAATGCCCCCCAGTGAGTCATCAACAAAGGACCCTCGCCGAAACCGGTGTGGCTCAGTGGATAGAGCATCGGCCTTCGGACTGAGAGGTCTCAGGTTTGATTCCGGTCAAGGGCATGTACCTTGGTTGCGGGCACATCCCCGGTAGGAGGTGTGCAGGAGGCAACTGATCGATGATTCTCTCTCATCGATGTTTCTAACTCTCTGTCCCTCTCCCTTCCTCTGTAAAAAAAAAAAAAAAAAATACACATATCTTTAAAATAATAATAATAATAATAAAATAAAAACAGCTGATTAAAAAAACACACAAAGGACCCTCAGCCTGGCCTCAGGCCTGCCTAAGAGCGTGAGCGAGGCCTCCACAGCAGTTTAGACTCTCGGACTCGTCTCTTGATCCAATTCTAACACCAAGAACTTCGCCCATGACCTCCTCACTCTGGTCCTGCATCTTGACCTCAATCGGGCGCCCCGATCTGGAATTCCAGAACCTGAATTCCCGCCCCCCCCTCCCACTCCCAAACCCAGGCAGGCCCCTGGACTGAGGGTCCTGGAACTCCACCCCAGGCCGCTGGACCCCAAAACACGGAGACCCACAAACTTGGATGGAGATTCCAGGATGACAAAACCATGATCTAGGGACCTCCACGCACACACACACACACACACACACACACACAACTCAGCACCCCAACCAGAGCACCCCAACCCAACAAGTGACCCTCCACACCAAGGACCAGAGCTCTGAATGCAACACCCCAACGGGAAGTCCAGGGTCCCACTCTTCCCTTCACACCCCCCTGTCCCATGTCCCCCTCCTCTCCCCCCGAATTCTGAGACCCCAGAATTCTCCACAGAGATTCTGGTCTCCACTTCCTTTGCAAGGACTTCCCGTTACAGCCCCTCTTCCACACCCAACCTGGAACTCTGTTCCCCAAAAACATTGGATCCTCAAAACAAGAGACCCCCAGTTTATAGCTGGACCCCCCAAACTTGAACATTCCAAGTTGCATGCTCCTCGACCCTTCTTCACCACCCTGACCCCCCACCACCACCACCACCACCACCACGGACTTTTCCCTAAACTAGGCAACCCCAAGATTTGGGGGACTCACCCTGGGGACCCCCCATCCTATCTCAACCAGAGAAGCTCGGCGTCTCTGAGTCCCAGAGTCCCCTCATCTTTTGAACGATGAATGTTAAGAGCCCCCCGCCCCCCTCCACGCGACCCAGCCACGCAACCAAGATTGGGGAGACCCCGCTTTTTAAAATCGGAATGCCGGGGAGCCTTGACACTCTTCCGCACCCCGAGGAGGGGGACCGAGACAACTTCCACCACCACCACCACCCCCATCTCAGCATCCGCTGGCTGCCCCGTCCCCACCCCCCACCCCATCCCACCCCCACTCCGCCTCCTAGAGGGCTGGGAATCCGGGCTGGCGGAGCTCAGACCAGCTTTCCGCCCCTCCCCCGTCCCATGGCTCCGGGCTTGACCGCCAGCTCCGCTCCCCTCCGCTCCCCTCCGCTCCGCTCGAACCCGGGCTCCCCGGCCGCCCGCGCGCAGGTAGCGGACCTCGGCTCCTCCCCTCGGCTGCGGCCAGGACCCGGCTCGGCTCGCGGTCCCCCGGCTCGCGCCCCCTCCGTTGCTCCAGTTCCTCCAGTTCCTCCTCACTCCACATTCTCCGCCAGCTCCAGCTCATCCTTGGGGACCCTCCTCCCCCATCCCCCCCCCCCCCCCCCGCCCGGAGCCGCCTCCCGCTCCTGCTCCCCCAGCCGCTCCCGGACGCGCGCATTCGGGTCTCCGGGGTCCCCTCCTCCGGGGTCCCCTCCAAGGCCAAGTCCACATCCGTCTCCTTTCACCGGGTATTGGGGGGGCGGGGGGGACACACACGTACCCGCCTTCCGGGAACCCTGTCTGGGACTCACGTCCTGCTCTCAGCCGGCCAGGCCCTCCCTCCGTCCTCCCTCCCTCCCTCCTCCCTCTCCCCGCGCCCGCCCCCCTCGGGGACCCGGGCTGTGCGCCCTGCCCGGGGGGACCCCGAGGGGACCCCGCGCTCCCCACGATCGGACGCGAACAGCAGAGAGTTGCTCACTCCGGTCCCTCGGACCCTGACCTCCGAGTTCCTTAGGCCCAATGCCCCTCCATCCTCCATCGCCTCCCGGACCCGGCGGTCCCGACCGCCCCAAGGCCGGCCCCCCAGGCCCATTGGAGCCCCAGCCGCCTCCGGGGGGGACCCCCGCCCCCTCCCGCGCCGCCCCCCGGACCCTCCGCTCCTCACCTCGCTCAGGGCTGGGCGGACGCTCCGGGCCGCGGGCCCCGCAGCCGCATGACCGGCCCCGCGGCTCCCCCCGGCCGCCGCCGCCGACCCCGGGGCCGCCGACGCCCGCGCCCCCCGCCCCCGCCCCGGAGCCCGGCGTCCCGGCCCCTCCGGCCCCCGCCCCCCGCCCCCCGCGCCGCCGCCGCCGCGGCCTCACTTGGCGGACGGCGCCGGGAGCTGCGGCCCGCGGCCGCTCATTGGCTGCCGGGGAGGAGGGGAGGGGCGGGCGGGCGGGGAGGGGGGTGCGGGAGGGAGGGGGGCGCCGGGCCCTGGGGATGGGGGAGGCCGGGAGAGAGAGAGAGAGAGAGAGGGAGAAGGAGAGGAGAGGGAGAGGGAGAGGAGAGAGAGAGAGAGAGAGAGAGAGAGAGAGAGAGAGAGAGGAGAGAGAGAGAGAGAGAGAGAGAGAGAGGATGGAGAGGGGGCGCGCGGAGCAGCGGGAGGCAGAAGGGGGGTCCGAGGCGCCCCCCGACTCCGAGGCTGAGCGGTCCTGAGCCTCGCAGGGCTGGGGACGGAGGAGGGAGAGAGAGAGAGAGAGAGAGAGAGAGAGAGAGAGGAGAGAGAGAGAGAGAGAGAGAGAGAGAGAGAGAGAGAGAGAGAGAGCGAGCGCAGGAGGGGCGGAGAGCGGGTCCCAGACCCCCACTTCCCCAGCTCGGAGGCCGGGGCGCAGGATGGGGCGGCGGGGGGGTGTCAGGCGCGCAGGGACCAGAGGGGACCGGGCCCCGCTCAGAGGCCTGGGCTGAGGGATGCTGTGGGACCCAGACACCTTGAGCCGGGCAGAGGGACAGGCGGAGAGACAGAGAGAGAGAGACCCCGGGAGGAGAGAGAGGCAGCGGGGCGATCCTTGGGGTCCCCTGCGGGGGGCTGGGGCTCTGGCCGGGCCCGGGGCGGAGCCTGGGGGTCTGGGCGGGAGGGGGCGTCCCGGGCCGGGGTCCCCCCAGAGCAGCCGGCGGGCGCGGAGCGATCTGGGTCCTGCAGCCGCCGCCGCGGAGCCGGGAGCCGGGCCAGCCCCCCCCCCCCGGCCCCCCCACCCGCCGTGATGTCAGCGGGGCCACTCTTAAAGGGGCAGGCCGCCCGCCGAGGGTCAGGCCGTGGGCTGGGGGCGGTGGACACGGGGTGGGGGGACCGCGGCGGAGCTGGGAGAGACAGGGCGGGGGAAGCCCCAGCATCCAACTAGACTTGAGTCCCCGGAACCCCAAAAGAGGTGAAGAGACACGCCGGGGTTCCCACAAAGGGGGAACCCACGAAGCTTTGGGGCTCAGTCCTTCCAAACGCACAGACATAGGCAGGCACACACACCATTCGACCGGCCGGCCTCGTCCCGGGACTACAACTCCCAGCAGCCCTGGCGGCGAGGGGCTTGCACTCCGGGGGGAAGGGTCCGCCGCGGTGCCTGCTGGGATACGTAGTCCTCTCCACTTCCCCCCACTCGCAAGTGGGTCAAGGGAAGGAGCCCCGGACGGCGCCGCGTCGGCCTGCCGCCTCGGTCGCGGGTCCCGAAGCTCACGGGTTCTGGTCGCTTCGGTTCTGTGTCGTGGGGTCAGTCCCTCTGACCCGATCCCCAGGGGTCTCCGTGGGCGGCTTGCCTTTCACCCCCATCCCCCACCCCCACCCCCATGGGTGTCAGTGTGTGTCTGTGAGCCTGTGCGATGCCCCCGGTAAGTGTGTGGGTGCTTGTCTCTCGGTGCCGGGGTCCCTCCCTGATGCCCGGGGCATCATCGCTCCAGAGAGGGAGGGAGAGCTGTAAACATCCACGATGAGAGAGAATCCTGGATGGGCCGCCTCCTGCACGCCCCCCACTGGGGATGGGATGGAGCATGGCATGTGTCCTTGACCGGACTTGACCCCGGGACCCTTCAGCCTGCGGGCCGAGGCTCCATCCACGGAGCCACACCGGCCAGGGCCCCTTTCCCTCTGTCTGCCCCCCCCCCTTCTCTCAGTTTGCTTCCAAGTGCAGCCCTTGTCCCACCTCCGCACCCCCTTTCCCTCTCCCAGCTCAGAAGAAAACAGCCAGACACCTCGGGGCGTCAGCAGCATCCCAAATTTATTCTCCGGCAGCTGCGGCCAGATGGGAGCGGCAGAGAGGGGAGAGGAGAGGAGCTGGGGAAGTCCCCGAGGGTGGCAGGCTGGGGTGGGGGCGGGGTTCCGAGCAGGGCTGGAGCCATGCACCTGGCAGGCGGGGGGCGGGGGGAGGAAGAGGGGGTACGGGGGGCTGGGCTGGGTTAGGAGGGGGGAGTCTAGAACGAAAGCTGATGGAGAACAGCTGGGGAAAGGCTCCCCGCACCCCCCAGGCATCCCCGGGGCGTGGGAGAGGGCGCTGGAGCTGGGGGCACAGCCTCTCATGGACTCCAGAATTGGGGGGCAGGGGGACAGGGGGCGGGGCCTCGGAGGTGGGGGGGTGGTTTGTCCTGGAACCCGAGTCTGGAGCAGCCCCCACCCCATGAGACTATTTCCCAGAATGAAAAAAGAACAAAAAGGGAGAAGGAGGCAGACATTCTACCGAGTCGGGGTCTAGAGCCCCATGGGGTGCGGGTAGGGGTGGGGGTGGGGGTGGGGTTCTGGAACCTGGGGGGACGGAGTCCAGAATCTGGGGTTCAGCGCAGCGGCACCTGAGTGGCGTGGGGAACGCCAGGGACGCTTGCGAGGGGCAGCCTAGCGCACCAGGAGCCCCGAGGGGCCGGGGGGGGGGGGGCTGGGGAGCAGAGGGGAGTCTGGGATCTGGGCTTCGGGAGGCGGCGGGAGGTCGGGCCGAGGCTGGCGCGGCGGCGGAGGGGGCCGTGGGGACACCTAGCGGCGGAGGGCGGGATTACAGGACCGGCACCGGCGCCGCCGCCACGGGGCTGACGGGGCTGCGGGTGTCCGGGTGGACGAAGTCGGGGTTCACAAAGGTGAAGCCTTCGAAGTCGGCCTGGTCGATGCTGGCCAGGACCAGGCGGTCCGGCGGGGTCAGCGCGGGCGCCGCGCGCGTGAAGAACTTGTCGAAGTTCTCGCCGCTGCGGCCGCACTGGAGGCGCCGGGAAGGGACCGTTACGTTCTGCCCGCTTCCCCCTCCCCGGGGGAGGGGGTCCCTGTCTCCGTCCCCCCAGATCCCTCTCCTGTCTCCTGGGGCTCCCTGCACCTCCCTGGGGTCTCCAGAGAGGAAACCCCGCGCCCCCTGCTCATATAGGTATTGGGGCTCCCGGGTGCCCCCCGTTTCCCGCCCCAGAGACCAAGGTGTGGCCTCTGGATGGACGGGGACCTACCGGGCGGGGCCGGAACGGGGGCGGGATCTCCAGCCTCTCCAGCCGCTCCCAGTCGATCCAGCGGAAGAAGCCGTGGGCGCGGATGGTGGGCTCCCCGTCGGGCCCGGAGCCCAGGCGTTTGGCGGGGTGCTTGGTGAGGAACTGTGGGGGACACGGAGAGACGGACAGACAGACAAGTCCCAGACCCGGGGGACGGGGGACACAGAGAACGAGAAAGAGAGGGAGAGAGACAAGGACGGAGGAACAGAGAGACACACGCATAGAGATCCCAGGATGGAGAAATAGCAGAGAGGACAGAAGGGGGGGGGGGGGGGAAGTGGCTCGTGAGCCGCCGTTGGCCGACCTCGGCCCTCACAAAGCCGCCGCCATGTTATGAAAATGGCTTCCGGCCGAAACCGGTTTGGCTCAGTGGTAGTGCGTCGGGTCTGCGGACTGAGGAGTCCCAGGTTCGATTCCGGTCAAGGGCATGTATTTGGTTGCGGGCACATCCCCGGTAGGGGGTGTGCAAGAGGCAGCTGGTGGATGTTTCTCTCTCATCGATGTTTCTAACTCTCTATCCCTCTCTCCTCTTCTCTGTAAAAAATCAATAAAATATATTTTTTTAAATAAAAAAAAAATAGTTTCCAGCAGGCGGGCATGGAGTGGCTTGAGCATCGGGAGCCCCTTTCTGATAACTATGCTTGGGAGACCATGTGGGCAGCAGTCCCGGGGGCGGCCGCGGGGGGCACGGCTGGTGCGGGGGGACCATCTGGGAGTCGGGGCGCTCACCCCCTTGCAGATGGCCACGGCTTCCCGGGAGAGCGACTTGGGGTAGGTGACGGTCTGCTCCATGATGGCCTGGAACAGCTCCTCCTCGTCCTCGCCGTCAAAAGGGGGCTGGGGAGGAGGTAGAGAGGGGTCGCAAATCAGAGGCTCCCCGACTACCTCTCTCCCCAGCCTCCACACCTTCACCCCCACCATGAACACACACACACACACACACACACACACACACACACACACACACGCCTCACGTTCTAGGCCAGTGGTCGGCAAACTCATGAGTCAACAGAGCCACATATCAACAGGACAACGATTGACATTTCTTCTGAGCCAAAACCGGTGTGGCTCAATGGATAGAGCATCAGCCTGTGGACTGAAGGGTCCAAGGTTTGATTCCAGTCAAGGGCATGTACATTAGTTGCGAGCACATCCTCAGTAGGGGGTGTGCAGGAGGCAGCTGGTCGATGTTTCTCTCTCATTGACATTTCTAGCTCTCTATCCCTCTCCCTTCCTCTCTGTGGAAAACCAATAAAATAAAGAAAGAAATAAAAAGAAATTTCTTCTGAGAGCCATATTTTTTTAACTTAAACTATACAGGTAGGGTCATTCTTATTAACTTAAGGAGGGCACTCCTCAGCTGGCCTTTGCTGAAAACTCAAGGGGCCAAAGAGCCGCCTGTGGCTCGAGAGCCGCAGTTTGCCGATCACTGATCTAGGGGGAAATGTGAGCAAGCCACCAAAGCTCTATCTCCCCCCTCCCCACCCCTCTTCCAATGCTTTGAGTTCCTGTCTCTTTGCTGCTCCGGGCTCCGTGTATCTGCTATGTAAATCAGCAGGGTGTTGATGAGGCAATATGTCATTTACACAGAAGCGAGAGAACACTGCAGGCAAGCTGCACCGGCGTGCTGGCTGGGTGAGAGGTCTCAGGTCTTTTGGGGTCAGGAAGAGCCACATGGAGTCAAGGGTTCTTAATGTGGGGCCCACAGAGGGGTTATTCCATGGAGGGGGCCATCAATTTGCTTGGGGGGAAATGCATCTTTATTTTATTTTTTTAATGTCTAACGGGAATTTAGCACGCCATTCAATTATAAATATGGGCAACACGGCAGTCCTGGTGGCTTCGTTGCAAATAGAAATCACAGATATATATATAAGTTGGGTTTTTTTGATTTTTTAAAATCACATTAGAGTTGCAGATATCTCAAAATATCGGTTACCTCTGCTTCAGAATGAATGGTAGGCCTTCCCAGTAATTTCAAGATATTACTTCCTATTCCTGTAAGATATTACTATTTAGCCCTGGCAGGTTCAGCTCAGTAGTCAGAGCATAGGCCCATGGATGGAAGGGTCATGGATTCGATTCCCAGGTCAAGGGCATGCACCTTGGTTGCAGGGCGAGTGCAAGAGGCAACCAATCGATGTGTTTCTCTCACATCAATGTTTCTCTCTCTTCCCCTCCTGCCTCCCTTCCACTCTCTCTAGAAATCAATGTGAAAAAATATCCTTGGGTGAGGATTAAAAAAAAAAAGATATTACTATTTAGTTCATTAATAGAGCATCATCTATACACTGAGTGGCCAGATGATGATGATCTCTGAATGCATAATAACCTGGCCACTCAGTGTAGACCCTATATAATAAAAGGCTAATATGCAAATTGTCCCCTTGATCAGTTCAGCCGGCAGGCAGGCCAGCCTCTCCCTGACCAGGCTGGCTGGACCCCACCCATGCACGAATTCATGCACCGGGCCTCTAAAAATATATATTAGAGGCCTGGTGCATGAACATTTCAGGGCCTCTAATATATGGCCAGATTATTATGCGTCCAGAGATCATAATAATCTGGCCACTCAGTGTATATCCACATCCCAATGTTTAATATTTAGGCAACTGTATCTATTGAAATGAGACTTATTTCGTTGGTTAAATTGGATTCGATGAAACTTTTCAAGCACTGGTGATCCTATGTTAATAGGATTGATTTCCTGTGTGACCCTGTTATTTTGTTTTTGTGCGTTTGAAAGGTCGCTCTTTGAAGGGGGCGGCCTCCTGGGAAGACGGCGCTTCAGCACCACGGACAGCGCTCTCTGGGCCTGCCCCGCCCACCCCTTAGCCCTGCCTCACACAACACTACAGCCTTACCCTTCCAGGATTTCCCCGGGGTCCTGTCACAGGGGCTCCCCACTTCCTGCTGCCTTTAGCCCAGTCAGCCCCTCCCCGGCTCCTTACCTGTCCCGCCAGCATCTCATACAGCAGGACCCCGAAGGACCACCAGTCGACAGACTTCCCGTAGGGCTGGTAGGCAATGATCTGGGGGGGAGACAGCGGCAGAGAGACTCCAGGGTCAGGTCTCCCACATTTTGAACACTGGACAGCCAGCCCCCCTCCCACCCCGCGGACTCGGGGAGGGCCCGGGCGGCGGGGGCGGGGTCACCTCGGGGGCGATGTAGTCAGGGGTCCCGCAGAAGGTGCGGGTCGTGTTCCCGGGGAAGACGTTCTCCTTGCACATGCCGAAGTCGGTGATCTTGATGTGCCCCTCGGCGTCCAGCATCACGTTGTCCAGCTTCAGGTCCCTGCGGGGCGGGCGGGGAGGGCGGGAGTGGCGTTCCAGGGGCTTAGAGCCCTCAGTCCGCATCCCCTCCCCTGGTCCCCCACCCCCCCGACAGGCCCGGGCCTCTCACCGGTAGATGATGCCCTGGTTGTGGAGGAAGAAGAGACCGATGGCGATCTCTGCCGCGTAGAACCTGGAGGAGGGGGGCGGGGGTCAGGGGTCAATGGCTGGGCCCCCCCCCCAAGCCTTCCCTCTTGCCCCCCTCCCTCCCCTTGGCCGGGACTCACGCGGCGTGGGGCTCCTTAAACTTGCCCAGCTGCTGGATGTGGTACATCAGGTCGCCCCCGGTGACATACTCCATCACAAAATACAGGCGGTCCTGGGGGAGGAGGGGAGGAGGGGAGGAGGCGGGGCTTAGAGGCCAGGACACGCCCACCAGCCGGTCCGTGCCAGCCTGTGCGCCCAGCGTTGGCAGTGAGCTGAGCTGTCTTTCTAAATGGGCGGCTCCTATTCGCCAGAGACAGGCTGAAAGGCTGAGGGGCCACCCAATCAGAAAGCCAGAGCAACTAGCCACACCCACCGTGACCCAAACAGGGGTCCTCAAACTTTTTAAAGTGGGGGCCAGATCACGGTCCCTCAGAGAGCTGGAGGGCCGGACTATATGAACTACTAATTCCTACTGTAACACCTCGGCTGCGCTCACTGCCCAAAAAACCTGGCGGGCCAGATCAGACTCCTCTGCGGGCCGCATGTGGCCCGCGGGCCGTAGTTTGAAGACGCCTGGAACAAGACCAGCTCAGAATTTACACCTGCCCCATGCCCTGATACTCAGAACTACAGGTGTTCTGGTCCCGTCCCCTCAGAACTGAAGTTTGAGAATTGGAGAAGGAGAAGGAGCAGGAGGAGGAGTAGAAGGAGTGGGGGGAGAGGAAGAAGAAGAAGAAAAAGAAGAACAACAATAAGAACAAAAACAAGAAGAAGGAGGAGGAGGAGGAGGGGAGGAGGAGAGGGGAGAGGAAGAGGAGGAAAAAGAAGGGGAGAAGGAGAAAAAGGAGAAGGAGGGGGAAGGGGAGAGGAGGAGGAGGAGGAGGTAGGAGAAGGAGGAGGAGGAGAAGAAGAAGAAAGGGATCCACCATTTGCTGGAATCCTAAACCTCGATCACGCCCACTCACACACACATGCAGCAGTTCTGGCCACCTGTTAGGAGCCAACAGGTACAGGCCTCACCTGCAAGTGATGGTACAGATAACGATCTATATAATAAGAGGCAAACACGCAAATCGACTGAATGGCAGAACGAACGGTCGCTATGATGTGCACTGACCACCAGGGGGCAGGTGCTCAACGCAGGAGCTGCCCCATGGTGGTCAGTGCACTTCCAGCAGGGGAGGATATTTGGGAGGGACCAGGCCAGCAGAGGAGGAAAGTTGGGGGGACCAGGCCTGCAGGGGAGAGCAATTGGGGGACAGGGCTGCAGGGGAGGGCACTCGTTCACTCAACAGCCCTTTACTCAAAAGCACCCACTCAACACTCAAGGCCAAGCTCACTGGGGCCACGCCTACACAGGATCCATCCAGCTGGCCCCGCCCATCAGGGGGAGACTCACCCAGCTGGCCCCTCCCACACAGGATCCATCCAGCTGGCCCCGCCCATCAGGGGGAGACTCACCCAGCTGGCCCCTCCCACACAGGATCCATCCAGATGGCCCTGCCCATCAGGGGGAGACTCACCCAGCTGGCCCCTCCCACACAGGATCCATCCAGATGGCCCTGCCCACCAGGGGAGGCTCATCTAGCTGGCCACGCCCATTAGGGGGAGGATTATCCAACTGGCCCCACCCACACGGGGCCCACCCATCTGGCTCCGCCCATTCAGAGCATGAAGCCCTTTGGCCTTGACTTGAGCTCAGACCCTGGAGCAGGTGCCTGGTCCATCTGGGGGTGGGGGTGGGGTGAGGGGTGAGGTGGGGCTCTGGGGCCAGCCGCGCCCCGCCCTCCTCACCGGGGTCTGGAAGGTGGAGTGGAGCTGGGTGAGGAAGTGGGGCCGGCCCCCCGGGCCCCGGCCGCCCAGCGCCAGCACACGCTTCTCCACCAGCGTGCAGTCCACGTCGTCATCCTGCACGATGACGTCCTTCTTCAGGATCTTGATGGCGTAGAGCTCCTCGGAGCCCCTCCGCTCCGCCAGCATCACCTGCGGGCATAGGCCCAAAGGCCTAGTGGGTCGTGGGACAACCCGGGGTGCAGATCCCTGCCCTCTCAAGGGATCTGGTGCCCTGCCTTCGCCAGGGACTCCCTCAGGGAAACCAATCTTGATCTTTCCCTTTAAAAATTGCTATGGCCCTAGCCGGTGTGGCTCAGTGGATGGAGCATTGGCCTGCGAACTGAGAGGTCCCAGGTTTAATTCCGGTCAGGGGCATGCACCTTGGTTGCGGGCACATCCCCAGTGGGGGCTGTGTAGGAGGCAGCTGATCGGTGTTTCTCTCTCATCAATGTTTCTAACTCTCTATTCCTCTCTTCCTCTCTGTAAAAGATCAATAAAATATATATTTTTTTAATTGTTATGGTTTGGCTCAGTGGATAGTCCATTGTCCTGCGGACTGAAGGGTCCCAGGTTCGATTCCCGGCAAGGGCCCATGCCCAGGTTGCGGGCTCCATCCCCAGTAGGGGGTGTGCAGGAGGCAGCTGATCCACGATTCTCTCTCATCATTCATGTCTCTCTCTCTCTCTCCCTCCCTCCCCTTTCCTCTCTGAAATCAATAAAACTGTATTCAAAAACAAAATAAAGCCGAAACCGGGCTGGCTCAGTGGATAAAGCATTGGCCTGCGGACTGAAAGGTCCCGGGTTCGATTCCGGTCAAGGGCATGTACCTGGGTTATGGGCACATCCCCGATAGGGGTTGTGCAGGAGGCAGCTGGTCGATGTTTCTCTCTCATTGATGTTTCTAGCTCTCTATCCCTCTCCCTTCCTCTCTGTAAAAAATCAATAACATGTATTTTTTTAAAATAAAAAATAAAATTTGATGGAGTTTATCTGAGCTAAACCGAAGTCCTAGGCTGTGGAGCAAGATCTCCAACGCTCTGCAATTCACATCTTCGTGTGTCCCCTCTCCAGGGGCCCGAGGGGCCCCATGCAACCCTCTTCGGGGACTCAGTCCTATTCCTGGCCGAGAACAGGAAGTGGGACCGCCCTCCAGACACCCTCCCCTTCTCCCCTGCCCACCCCCCCAGGGCCCCGGGAATCCGACCTTCCCGAAGCTGCCTTTTCCCAGGACCATGAGGAAACTGAAGTCGGAGATGTGCAGGCGCCCCGGGCCGGCCCCGAAGAAGCAGCGCTTGGAGTCGGTGGGGCTGGGGGAGGGGGAGGGGATGGGGGAGGAGGAAGGACCCATGCGCACGCGCTGCGAGACAGGGAGAGAGAGACCCCGGGCGGTCAGATCCCCCGCGGGGACAGGGGGTGCCTCTCAGAGACAGCATCCAGCCCCAGCCGGTGTGGCTCAGTGGATAGAGCTTCCGCCTGCGAACTGGAGGGTCCTGGGTTCCATTCCAGTCAAAGGCACATGGTTGCAGGCTTCATCCCCAATAGGGAGCGTGCAGGAGGCAGCTGATCAATGATTCTCTCTCATGGTTGATGTTTCTCTCTCTCTCCCACCCTCTCCCTTTCTCTCTAAAATTAATAAAAATGTATTTTTAAAAAATAAAAGAGAGATGCCGAGACCGGTTTGGCTCAATGGATAGAGCGTCGGCTTGGGGACTGAAGGGTCCCGGGTTTGATTCTGGTCAGGGGCATGTACCTTGGTTGTGGGCATATCCCCAGTGGGGGGTGTGCAGGAGGCGGCTGATCGATGACTCTCTCTATCGATGTTTCTAACTCTCTATCTCTCTCCCTTCCTCTCTGTACAAAATCAATAAAATATATTTAAAAAAATTTTAATAAAAGAGAGAGAGACAGCACCCAAGAATGAAAAGGGTGGGGAGATACTTAGCAGGTTTAGCTCAGTGGATAGAGTGTCTGCCTGAAGAATGAAGGGTCCCGGGTTCCATTCGGGTCAAGGGCATGTGCCTGGTTGCGGGCTTGATGTCCAGTAGGGGGCGTGCAGGAGGCAGCCAATCAGTGATTCTCTCTCATCATGGATGTTTCCACCTCTCTCTCTCTCTCTCTCTCTCTCTCTCTCTCTCTCTCTCCTACTCTCTGAAATCAATAAAAACAATTAAGAAAGAAAAAGAGAGAGACAGAGAGAGAGGGAGGGAGAGAGGGAGGGGGGAGAGAGAGAGAGAGAGAGAGAGAGAGAGAGAGAGAGAGAGAGAAAGAAAGAAAGAAAGAAAGAAAGAAAGAAAGAAAGAAAGAAAGAAAGAGAAAAGGGTGGGGAGAGATGGAGAGAAAATAAAAATTATCCCTCACCTCCTGCTTGGCTTAAGAACTTTCTATGGCTTTCCAGAGCCAGAGGGTTTATTTATTATTGAAATAACCCTTCGAGAGCTTACTACAGGCCATTAAGCCTCTGGAAAACCCTGTTAGCACCGACCCCACCCCCTTTTAGAGAAATGGAAGCTGGCACAGAGATGGTAAGTAACGTGCCCCGAGTCACATAGTGGATAAAAAGCAGAGCCAGGAATCAAAGTCCATTAGCGGCCGGTTATGTCTGCCTCCTCCCTGTTCCTCCACCAGCACCCAGCACCCAGCACCCAGCACCCAGCACGTGGCCAGAGGGTGTTGAATGGAGGGTGGTCTCAGGAATGCAATTCCAGCCTTCAGAGCAGACCCGGCGTCTGCACAGCCTCACCACCACTGTGCCCTGGTCCTTCTGCGCCTCCTGTGCGGTCCCCCGCAGCCTCCTCCCACCTCTCACCTCCCCCCTTCCACCTCCAGCCTCCCGCCTCCATGCAGAGGCAGTCATCTTGTTCGAATCGAAACCATCTCAGCCACCTCCATGCCATCCCATCTCACTCCGTTTCAAAGCCCAATCCTGCCGAAACCGGTTTGGCTCAGTGGACAGAGCGTCGGCCTGGGGACTGAAGGGTCCCAGGTTGGATTCCGGTCAAGGGCATGTAACTTGGTTGCGGGCACATCCCCAGTGGGGGGTGTGCAGGAGGCAGCTGACCGATGATTCTCTTTCATCGGTGTTTCTAACTCTCTATCCCTCTCCCTTCCTCTCTATAAAAATATTGTAAATAAATAAAAGCCAAAATCCCTCCAGTGAATGACAAGGCTCCCTCCACCACCTTCCCTCTCTGCCTTCACCTCCTGCTCTCCCCCTCGCCCGCCAGCCTGTCCTCCCTGCTGTGTGCAGCAGACACCGCGGGCCCGCCCCCACCCACCTCAGGGCCTTTGCACCTGCTGTTTCCTCTGCCCGAAAGGCTCGCCTCCTCAGTCTCCTCCTCCGTGGCTCACTCTCTCACCTCCCTCCCTTCTTTGCCACTCTCTCTGCTTCCTGCGACTAAAACCACAGACACTTCTCCTAGGACACTCCCTACTCTCTTTAATGCTCGCTCACTGCTTTCTAACGTGTTATCCTTTCTTTTCTTTCACATCTTCCTCAACGTGAAACCCCGTGGGGGAAGGAATGTTTTTCTCTCCTGTTCCCCGCTCTATCCCCGGGGACCAGGGCCATGCCTTACCCACCGAGGGGCTCGGCAAAACGTTTTATGAAAGGACTAGAGACCCGGTGCACGAAATTTGTGCACGGAGGAGGGAGGTGTCCCTCAGCCCAGCCTGCACCCTCTCCAATCTGGGACCCCTTGAGGAATGTCCGACTGCCCGTTTAGGCCCGTCTCACAATCCAGGACTGCTGGCTCGCAGCTGCTCACCTGCCTGCCTTCCTGGTTGCCCCTAACTGCTTCTGCCTGCCAGCCTGATCACCCCCTAACCACTCCTCTGCCAGCCTGATGGATGCCTAACTGCTCCCCTGCCAGCCTGTTTGCCCCTAATTGCCCTCCCCTGCAGGCCTGGGCCTCCCCCAACTGCCCTTCTCTGCAGGCCCGGTTGTCCCCAACTGCCCTCCCTTGCAGGCCTGGTCAATTTGCATATTACTCTTTTATTAGATAGGATAAGGGAGGGAGAAAGCATTCCTTCTTTGGCTTGGTGCCCCTCTCCTTTGCTTGGGAATCTTCTCTGAGAAGCTTTCTCTGATTCTCCCAGGCAGGGCCGGGTACTTCCGGGACCTCCCTGGCGCCCAGGGCCCGGGGCCCTCCATTATCAGACATATTCCTTTTGCGGGTGAATTTCTCTATCGGTAACTTTCTCCAACACTGAGAAAGAGGAGATGGCGGAACGAGGCTTGGCTTATGTGACACTTCCAGAAAGGGGTGTTCAGTGAGCGAGTAAAGGAACTGGGGAGAGCCAGGCCGCCGTGGTACACAGATAGAAAAACTCCAGGATCAATTCCGGTGGCGCCTCCTCAGGGAAGCCCTCCCTGACTGCCTCATCCTCCCCCACCCCCCCAAAAAAAACACACACAAAGAAACCTGGGTTAGTCTGTGCCTCTTTAGTGCCCTGATCTCCGATGTAGCACATCATCCTGGGACGTAAGGATAATAGCTGTGACTGTGTCTCTGCCTTGGGGAGTTACCTGAGAGTCAGGTATGTGTGTGGAAATGAAGACAGATCTTAGTGGGGGGGGGGGGGGGAAGAAGAGACTCAGATGCCAGGAATGAACCTGTCTCCATTCCAGATCCCAGCGCCACTCACCTCATAGAGCTCCAGGGGGTAGTTACAGGCCTGGGGGGAAGGAGGGAGAAAGCCAGAGTCAGAGCCCCAGGGAGGTAGGAGACTGCCCTGAAGCCGGAAGTGGGGACCACCACCCCCCTATCCCCCTACCCCAAACTCCCAAACCAGAGGGATGAATAGGAACTCGAATTCCCATCAGACCTTGAGGCAGGAATCCCTTAGGAAAGCCAAGGAAGGAGCCCCAGGGTCTTCTGGGAGTTGTAGTCCCAGGAGCAGTAGGTGTTTGGGAAAGGGGTGAGGGAGGGCAGGGGGCTGTCTTTCCGTGGGGGAGCCGGGTCCCGGTACCTCGAACTTCTGCAGGAGGCTGCAGTTGTCAGCATCGGCCACGGGCACGTTGTAATACTCGCCCTCCTCCTGATTCAGCAGCTTGTACCTGACACACAGAGGCAGACACAGAGATGGAGAGGGAGGGTGATATCAGTGATAGGTCCTCCCTTCCCCCAACTGGTGGGTGGAGTATGACGTCACCTGCACCTGCGGGCTGGACATTCTTTTTTTCTTTTCTTTTGTTTTAATATATTTTATTGATTTTTTTACAGAGAGGAAGAGAGAGGGATAGAGAGTTAAAAACATCGATGAAAGAGAGTCATCATCAGCTGCCTCCTGTACACTCCCTACTGGGGATGTGCCCCCAACCAAGGTACATGCCCTTGACCAGAATCGAACCCGGGACCTTTCAGTCCGCAGGCTGACACTCTATCCACTGAGCCAAACCAGTCTCGGCGACCTGGACATTCCTGAGCACCTCACCAGGCACCTTACATGGACTGTACATTGAACCACCATCAGCACCTGCCAATACTCTAAGCCCCCCATTCCTAAGTCCCTAAGTGCCTAATTTTGTACCTTATATGAAACCACCAATCAGCTGGCCGAGTGTCCTAAGCCCCGCCCCTTCCCACTCCTCCCCTCAAAAGGCTGCTCCCCTCTGCACGGTGGCTCTCTCCCCTTGTGGGGTAGCCCTGCAGGGCCCTCCTCCTCCCATAAAGCCCATAGTCCTGGCTTTCAATCTTCTGTCTCATCTTCCTTCCTTTCTCTCTTTCTTTCTTTCTTTCTTTTTAAAATATATTTTATTGATTTTTTACAGAGAGGAAGAGAGAGGGATAGAGAGTTAGAAACATCGATGAGAGAGAATCATTGATCAGCTGCCTCCTGCACACCCCCTACTGATGATGTGCCTGCAACCAAGGCACATGCCCTTGACCAGAATCGAACCCGGGACCTTTCAGTCCACAGGCTGACGCTCTAGCTCTATCCACTGAGCCACACCACTTTTGGCTGTCTCATCCTTTAAGAAGGAGAGAGGGGACTGAGAGAGAATGGCGTTGGCCTGTGGGAGGGGAGGGAGCCCCCACCCAGAGGGAGGGAGGGAGGGAGACACGCCCGCCGCCCGCCCCGGCCCTCACCAGCCCCCTCCCAGCCCCCCCTCCGGCCTCACCATCGCCCCCCGGCCTCCCTAGCCGCCCCGAGGCCTCACCAGCCGTCCACCGGCGCCTTCAGCAGCTCGGACACCCCGAAGGACATGGCGCCCATGAAGTCGTTGCGCGAGGTCCGGTCCCAGTCCCACACCTCCACGCTGAGCCTGCGCTCCACGTCGCCCGGCTTCAGGTTGCTGCGGGGAGGGGGCAGGGTGAGGGCCCGCTGCCCCCCCACCCCCTGCGGGGGAGGAGGCTAAGCTGGAGAGCTGAGGTCTGGGTGTGTCTTCCCACCGGGTTCCCTCCTCCCACACCAGGGCCCCACCCGGAGCGCTGGCTCTGAGTCCCTCAGGCTGGGCCCCTTCCCTACCTGCCTCCCCCAAGTCTTTCCCCACAGGTGTCTGTCCCCCTCTTTCTGCCTTTCCCTGCCACCCGGCCACCCATCACACCGCCCCTCTGCCCCCAAACTCCTCTCTTCTGTCTGTCTCATTCTAGGGTTCTCTCTCTCTCTCTCTCTCTCTCTCTCTCTCTCTCTCTCTCTCTCTCATTGATTTTAGGGAGAGAGGAAGACAAAGACAGAAATATCAATTGGTTGTTCTGATCATTTATGCATTCATTGGTTGCTACTTTTATTATTTTTAGCCATATATATATATTTTTTTTATTGATATTTTATTTTATTTTTACAGAGAGGAAGGGAGAGGGATAGAGAATCAGAAACATTCATGAGAGAGAAACATCGATCAGATGCCTCCTGCACACCCCCCACTGGGCATGTGCCTGCAACCAAGGTACACGCCCTTGACCGGAATGGAACCTGGGACCTTTCAGTCCGCAGGCCGACGCTCTATCCACTGAGCCACACCGGTCAGGGCCATTGGTTGTTTCTTGTTTGTGTCCTGACCAGGGATCAAACCCACAGCCTTGTCGAATCAGGACGTAGCTTCAACTAACAGAGCTATCCGGCCGTGGCTCTCTCTGTCTCTCCTCCTCCGCTCTCCCTCATCTCTGTCTCTCTCTCTCTCTCTCTCACATGGGGCTTTGATGATGATTGAATGCACAGATGTCTGCCTCTCAGCTTCTGTGTCCCCATTCCTCTCCCCAGCCACTAGTTTCCCTCCTCTGCTCTTTTCTGGGAGTTCCCGCCACCCTAGCCCCTCCCACCAGCTGCTCCCTGGCGGGCTTGTGAGCCACCGGGACCCCCGGATCGTCCTCTGTCCGCCCTCGCGGCCTCCCCTGCGCCCAAGGCTCACAACACGAAGGTCTCGTTCCACACGGGGTTCAGCGTGGCCTTCACCGTCCGGGTCTTCTGCTTGGTCAGGTTCCGCGGGTCTGGAATGAGCTTCAGCTTCACGTAGGGGTCCGACAGCCCGTTGGGGTCCATGGGGATGAGGTTCCGGGCCTCACCGACTGCGCGGGGAGGGGAAGGAGGGGAGAGGGGGTTAGAGTCCCAGGAAGAGGCCCTAGCCCACCCCCCGTCAGCATGGGGACTTCCAAACCCTCAGCCGCCCTTCTCTCTCTCCCTCTCTCTCTCTCTCTCTCTCTCTCTCTCTCTCTCTCTCTCTCTCTCTCTCTCTCTCTCCCCTCAATATATTTTATTGATTTTTACAGAGAGAAAGGGAAAGGGATAGAGAGTTAGAAACATCAACGAGAGCCAAAACCGGTTTGGCTCAGTGGATAGTGTTGGGCTGCGGACTGAAAGGTCCCAGGTTCGATTCTGGTCAAGGGCATGTATCTTAGTTGCGGGCACATCCCCGGTAGGGGGTGAGTGGGAGGCAGCTGATGGATTTTTCTGACTCTCTATCCCTCTCTCTTCCTCTCTGTAAAAAGTCGATAAAATATATTTTTAAAAGAAAAAAATAAAACTTCAATGAGAGAGAATCACTGATCAGCTGCCTCCACTGGGGATGTGCCCACAACCAAGGTACATGCCCTTGACCGGAACCAAACCCTGGACCCTCCAGTCCGCAGGCTGATGCTCCATCCACTGAGCCAAACTGGCCACGGCTCTCTCTCTCTTTTAGCCGCCCTTCTCTTGGCCAGGGCGTCTTTGCTGTCTAGCTCCCAGTACCCAGAAGACAGGGCATAGAGCCCTTCCTTTGCCCCGAAATCAGACCTTCCTTCGTTAGGACCCAGGAGCCAGGACCTGGCCACTCTCTCACCTCCTCCCTCTCAAGGACCTTGGCTTCTTGTGTGGCCATTAAAAGGGGCTGAAAGCCCTAAGCGGTGTTGCTCAGTGGATAGAGTGGACTCAAGGGTCCTCCCAGGTTCGATTCCGGTCAAGGGCATGTACCTTGGTTGCGGGCACATCCCCAGTGGGGTGTGTGCAGGAGGCAGCTGGTCCACGTTTCTAACTCTCTATCCCTCGCCCCTCCTCTCTGTAAAAAATCAATAAAATATATTTAAAAATAAAAAGGGGTGGAAGCCGGTTTGGCTCAGTGGATAGAGCGTCGGTCTACGGACTGAAGTGTCCCAGATTCGATCTGGTTAAGGGCATGTACCTTGGTTGCGGGCACATCCCTGGTAGGGGGTGTGCAGGAGGCAGTGGATCGATGTTTCTCTCTCATGGATGCTTCTAACTCTCTATCCCTCTCTCTTCCTCTCTGTAAAAAATCAATAAAATATATATATATATTTGAAAATAAAATAAAAATAAAAGGGGGGAGGGCCACTGAAAGTTGCCAGAGGCGAGGCTGGAGATGGGGCGGCCAGCTCGAAGGGGCGTGGCCTCGTGGTGCTAGCCTCTGAAGCCTGGGCCCAGATTGGGGCGTGGCCTCGAATGTGGGCGTGGCCTCGAAAGAGGGGCGTGGCCTTTCCCGGGCTTTGTATGTGGGCCTGGTCTTCCTAGAGGGGCGTGGTTTTCTGGGGCCTGCATGTGGGCGGGGCATCTCAGGGGCGGTGCCTTATCGGGTCTGTGTGTGGGCGTGGTCTCTGAGATGGGCGTGGTCTTTCCGGATCTGGGTGTGGGCGGGGCCTGCGAGGGGCGGGGCCTCACCCGTGATGTGGATCTCGTCGGCCGTGGGAGCGCGGATCTCCAGCTGCAGGCGGCCGCGGCGCTCCGTGTGGTCCACGCCGCACAGCGAGGGCACGCTGCGCACACAGCGCCGGTGCACGTTCATCTCGCAGCCTGCGGGTGCAGGGGGGGACAAAGCCAGGGGGCAGCGCTTCAGGCCCAGCCCCGGGGACCCCGGCCTCCACTCCCCGGACAGGTCCCCAGAGCCGGAGGCCGCGCAGACTCACTCACAGGAGCACTTCATGCCCTGGTGCACCAGCCCGTACAGCAGGGAGCCGCAGTGGTCGCAGAAGGTGGGGCTGCTGTAGCTGTGCAGGCGGAACTTGTGCTTGTTCCGGGGGTCCTGGGGGAACAGGGGGGCCGGTCAGGAGGTCCGAACCCTCCAGGAGCAGCCCCTGGGGCTCTTCCTCCTGCCTGGCTCTCTCCCGCTCGCTGGGGCCCTGCCTCACTCCCCTTCATTCCTCAGCACTTATTTATTTTAATATATATATATATTATTGCATTTTTTACAGAGGGGGAGGGAGAGGGAGAGGGGAGAGCTAGAAACATTGATGAGAGAGAAACATCCATCAGCTGCCTCCTGCACACCCTCTACTGAGGATGTGCCCGCAGCCAAGGTACATGCCCTTGACCAGAATCGAACCCGGGACCCTTCAGTCCGCAGGCCGGCACTCTTTCCACGGAGCCAAATGCTCAGCATTTATTTGTTTATTTTTAAAAATAAACGTTTACTTATTTCAGAGAGGAAGAGAGAAAGACATCAATGATGAGAGAGGACCACCCACCGACTGGCTGCCTCCCGCAAGCCCTACACTGGGGATCCAGCCCGCAACCTGGGCATACGCCCTGGACCGGAATCGAACCCAGGACCCTTCAGTCAGGAGGCCGACGCTCTATCCACAGAGCCAAACCTTCTAGGCCTGAAAGAGGTGAGGCTTCCAAAGTCCCCTATCCCCCCTACCCCTACACCTCACACAGGCTGTGTTTTGAGGGCTTGTGGTCCACTATGAGCTCCTGATCGTTCACTGTCAGTCTCTGTCATTGCCTGCTGACCATCTGCCTTCCCTGGGCCCTTGGTGGGATGGCGAATCTGACCTACCAGTTGCAAGGCCCCAAGCGTCCTACATCCATGATTAAGTATAAACCTCACAGCAGAGCCTGGAGTGTTAAATGTACTCGGTACTGCTACTTGTATGCTGTGGTGGTTGTCAGTGATTTCATTTTTAAACATTTATTTTATTATTCTTTTTTTTTAATCCTCACCCGAGGATATTTTTCCATTGATTTTTTAAAAAATATATATTTTTTTTTTATTGACTTCGGAGAGGAAGGGAGAGATAGAAAGATCAATGCTGAGAGAGAATCACTGATCAGCCACCTCCTGGACGGCCCCTACCGGGGATCAAGCCTGCAACCCGGGCACGTGCCCTTGTCCGGAATCGAACCCGGAGCCTTTCACTCCTCAGGCTGACGCTCTACCCAGCGAGCCAAACCAGCTAGGGCTTTCCATTGATTTTTAGAGAGAGTAGAAGAGAGAGGGAAAGACAGAGAGAAACACATCGATCGATCGATCGGTTGCCTCCTGCAGGCACTGGGACCAGGGCCCGGCCGGGGAGGAGCCTGCAACCGAGGCTTACAAGCCCTTGACCGGAATCAAACCCGGAACCTTCGGGTCCGCAGGGCGACGCTCTATCCACTGAGCCACCCCGGCCAGGGCGTCATCAGCGACTTTACTGCAGCCTCCACAGAAGAGCTGGGCCGTTAACTTCCAAGCTGTGTGATTTGGGGCAGGTCCGTGTCCAATGGTGACCCTGCTCTGCCCAGTGGAGATAAACAATCTACATCCTGAAGGGTTGCTCGCTGTCTGGAGTCCAATTAAGCGAGAATGTAGGGCACCAGCGAAGCGCTCTCCCTCCGCCCGCAAGGTCGCAGCGTCAGACCGTCTGATGTTCGCCTTTTGCAAAGTGTGCACACGGCAGGAGCTACCGGAGGGTGGCAATTCAGGACGCGCCCGGACTTCTTTGCCTTTGGCAGGGGATCCTCTGTCAGAGGAGACTTGGCAGGGGGGCAGGGGGGCAGGGGGGCAGAGGGGAGGGGGGAGGGGGCCTCCGTCCCTTGGAGGGGGCTTTGTCTTCTGAAGACATTCCGCTGAGCCCGAATCAAAGGGCTGCTGCCTGCCGAAGGGGATGCTGGGAGCGAAGGCCCGCAGCGGGGTGGCCGCACACGCAGGCCAGGGGCGGAAGCGGTGACTGTTCTCAGGGGGAAGGCGGATCATGCACAGGGTCAGGGCCGGGCTCCAGGGAGAGGAGTCAGGGCTGTCCTGACTCTGCCCACCGCCCAGCTGGGTGGGCCCCAGGCCCTTCTGAGACCCAGGCTTCCTTCCTATAAAGTGGGTGGTTGGGGCGGGGGGGAGGGGAATTGGGAGGGGGGCTTGGCTGTGTGGCTCAGTGGATAGAGCCACACAGCCTTTTGGACTTAAGGGTCCCGGGTTCCATTCCGGTCAAGGGCACTTGCTGGAGTTGCAGGAAGGGGAGGGGGGGCGGGGGGCGTGCAGGAGGCAGCCATCCGTGGTTCTCTCTCATCATTGATGTTTCTGTCTCTCCCTTTTTCTCTGAAGTCAATGAAGATATATTGTATTTAAATAAACAAACAAATAAATAAAATGGGGGGTCAGGGAAGTGAGGCCCTCCCCCCCTGCAAGGGGTTTTGTGAAGACGACACTGAGTGGCCAGATGATGATGATCCCTGAATGCATAATAAGCTGGCCACTCAGTGCATATGTATATTAGAGGCCCGGTGCATGAATTCCTGCATTGGTGGGGTCTGGCCAGCCTGGCCAGGGGGAGGGGACATGGATGGTTGGCCGGCCTGCCTGCTGGTCGAACTCCTGGTCGAGGGGACAATTTGCCTATTAGCCTTTTATTATATAGGATAGACACTGAGTGGCCAGATCATTATGTGTTCAGAGATCATCATCATCCGGCCACTCGGTGTAAATGAAGTCATGCTTTTAAGGCCCTTAGCACTTAAGCCTTTGTTACTTATGAGACGGAATACATTAAGATGCCCTGCCGGCCGAAACCAGTTTGGCTCAGTGGATAGAGCGTCGGCCTGCAGACTCAAGGGTCCCGGGTTCGATTCCAGTCGAGGGCATGTACCTTGGTTGCGGGCACCTCCCCGGAGGGGGGTGTGCAGGAGGCAGCTGATCGATGATTCTCTCTCATCGATGTTTCTAGCTCTCTATCCCTCTCTCTTCCTTCCTCTTTGTAAGAAGTGGCTCAGTGATTGCAAGTTGACTGAGGAACCAGGAGGTCAAGGTTTTATTCCCAATCAGGGCACACTGCGTGGGTTGCAGGCTCGGTCCCAGTGGGGGGGTGTGCAGGAGGCAGCCAATCAATGATTCTCTCTCATCACTGATGTTTCTCTCTCTCCCCCCTCCCTCTCCCTTCCTCTCTGAAATCAGTAAATGTATATATGTGCATTAACAAGAGTCCTGAGCAGTGTGGCTCAGTTGGCTGGGCGTTATTCCGGAGCAGGGAAAAGTAGTAGCTCGATTCCAGGTCAGGGCGCATGCTGGGGTTGAGAGGTGGGCTGGATCCCCAGTAGTGGGCGTGCAGGAGGCAACGGAGGGATGTTTCCCCTTGTATCAGTGTGTGTCTTCCTCCCTCTCCTCCCCCCCCCTCTCTAGAAATCAATCACAAATCTTCCTTCTTGAAAGCAGGAGGGAGAAAAACGACGCCAGATGGAGGCAGAGGGAAGACGGACTACCTCCTCACCATCACCCTCCGCTCCGGCAGCCGCAGTAACTTCCACAGCGACAGTCACTCACATTTCCTCTCCCGCCACGGGCCCGGCCGGCCCACGGCTTTGACTCATTTGCTTCGCGAAGCGATCCTACCGGGTGGGCATGAGGCTCTAGCTCCCTGGTGCACACACATGGGGATCTGTGCATCTCGGTGTGTGCACATGGGGAAGTGTCTATGCACACGGGGACCTGTACATGCAGGTGTGTGCACATGGGAGCCTGTGTGTATACGTGTGTGTGTGCACGTGGGGACCTTATGTATAAGTATGTGTGCATACATGTACCTGTGTGTATAAGTGTGTGCACTTATGTGTCTGTATGTATAAGTGTGTGTGCACGCGTGTACCTTATGCATAAGTGTGTGCATATGGGGATGTGTATGTATAAGTGTGTGCATATGGGGCCCTGTATGTATAAGTGTGTGCACATGGGGACCTGTATGTATAAGTGTGTGTGCATGGGGACCTGTATGTATAAGTGTGTGTGCATGTGGGGATCTGTATGTATAAGTGTGTGTTCACCTGGGGACCGGTATATATAAGTGTGTGCACATGGAGTCCTCTGTGTGTATAAGTGTGTATGCACATGGAGTCCTGTGTGTATAAGTGTGTGTGCACGTGGGGAACTGTATATGCAGGTGTGTATGCACATGAGGGGTCTGTATATGTAGTTGTGCATGCACGTGAGGGATCTGTGTATGCACGTGTGTGCACACATGGGGGATCTGTGTACACACGTGTGTGCGCGCACGGGGGTCTATGTACATATGTGTGTGCACACATGGGGGTCTGTGTATGCACATGTGTGTGCATGTGGGGTCTGTATATGCAGGTGTGCGTGCACATGAAGAACTGTATATATAGGTGTGTGTGCACATGAGGCCTGTGTGTATCAGCATGTGTGCATGTGGGGATCTGTGGACACAGGTGTCTGTGCACATGGGGACCTGTGTGTGCACGTGTGTGTGCCTGTGCCCTGCAGGAGCTCTCTGAGCCTCGGCCGTGTTCCATCCCCGCCATGTTCCCTTCTCGGCGCTCTGCGTACCCGCACCGTCTCTCTGAGCGTCTCCATCTCGGTCTGCCTCTCCACGTCCCTCTGCCTCCTTCCTGTCTCTCTCTCTCTCTCTCTCTCCCCCCCCACAGTCTCTATCTTTCCCTGCATCTCTGAGCTTCTCTCTTCTTATCTCAGCATCCCAGGGCCTGCACCACATTTCTCTCCCTCTGCCCTCAGCTCTGCTGTTAAATCTCCTGAGCACCAGCTCCCTGTCCCCCCCCCCCCCCCCCCCCCCAGCGCCATCCTTCACCTCCTCACCCTGCCTGCCTGTCTCCCACCTGTGTCCCCAACCCGGCTCGGGCCCCTCTGCTCCCCCCTTTCCAGGCCAAGGGCAGGGAATCTGGGCCAGCCTGGCTCCCCTACCTCTCCGGCCCCCTCCCCGCCCGGCCTTAAAAATAGCAGGAGAAAGTGGGACGGTCGCCTGGGGGGCGAGGGCGGCGGCGGAGGCGGGCCAGTGTGCGGCACTCACGTCCGTCTGGGGGCCCTTCCCGGCGCCTGGGCACTCGAAGGTCACGAACTCGTGGCATCGGCGGTGCACCACGAAGCTGCAGACTGCAGGCGAGAACCAGAGACACGGGGACGGGGGGCCCCGGGGGCGGGGAGTCAGGAGGAGAGGGACCCGGACGGGAGAGCCCTCCAGTGAGGCACCAGCCCTGCCCGGAGAGAGCTCCACGGAGCGGCTGCCCGGGCGGAGAGGAGGCGAGAGACGGGAGATGGAAATTCCAGGCAGAAACCGAGAATCGGAGCATCCGAGAGAGACATGCAGAGCACAGAGGGGCCGGCGGACACACACAGAGACAGAGAGAAGGAGAGGCAGAGACAGAGACAGAGAGAAGGAGAGGCAGAGACAGAGACAGAGAGAAGGAGAGGCAGAGACAGAGACAGAGAAGGAGAGGCAGAGACAGAGAGGGAGAGAGGGAGAGACAGAGAGGGAGAGGCAGAGACAGAGACAGAGAGGGAGAGAGGGAGAGACAGAGAGAGGGAGAGACAGAGACAGAGACAGAGAAGGAGAGGCAGAGACAGAGACAGAGAGAAGGAGAGGCAGAGACAGAGACAGAGAGAAGGAGAGGCAGAGACAGAGACAGAGAAGGAGAGGCAGAGACAGAGAGGGAGAGAGGGAGAGGCAGAGACAGAGAGAGTCAGAGACAGAGAGGGAGAGGCAGAGACAGAGGGAGAGACAGAGACAGAGAGAGGGACAGGGACAGAAAAAGAGAGAGGGACAGAGACAGAGAGGGAGAGACAGAGACAGACAGAGACAGAGAGAGGGAGAGACAATGACAAAGACAGAGAGAGGGACAGAGACAGAGACAGAGAGAGGGACAGAGACAGAGAGAGGCAGAGATAGAGAGAGGGAGAGGCAGAGACAGAGAGTCAGAGAGAGACAGAGACAGGGACAGGGAGAGGGACAGAGACAGAGACAGAGAGAGGGAGAGGCAGAGACAGAGAGGAAGAGACAGGGAGAGGCAGAGACAGAGAGGAAGAGACAGAGACAGAGACAACAGAGACAGAGAGAGGAAGAGGCAGAGACAGAGAGGAAGAGACAGGGAGAGGCAGAGACAGAGACAGAAATGACAGAGACAGAGAGAGGAAGAGGCAGAGACAGAGAGGCAGAGACAGGGAGAGGCAGAGACAGAGACAGAGAGAGAGAGAGGGAGAGGCAGAGGCAGAGAGGAAGAGACAGGGAGAGGGAGAGAGAGACAGAGACACGGAGAGAACAGGATCCCAGAGGGAGATGAGAAGCAGAGAAGGGAGAGAAAGGAGAGGAAACCCACAGGCGTGTCCGGACCGAGCAGAGAGCAGCAACTCGGGCAGAAGTGAGTCTGGGGGCGCCGCCGCGGCCACCCCCTCCCTGACTCACTGTGTTCCCAGCCTGGCAGCTGGTGCTTTCAGGACTGGCACCCCTCCCTCCCCGCCCCCCTCCCTGCCCTCCCCGCCCCCCTCATCTCCCTCTCTGCCCCCCTCCAACTGCGGCCCACCGGCCCCACCCGCCCAGGCTGACCCCACCCGGCCTGCCCCTGCGGGGGACCGCCGTGCCTGTTGTCATGGTGACGGCAGCCTGGTTTTGGGGGGCGGGGGGTGTTGGTGGTAGGGTTCTGACTTTGCATCTTCAGCCCCCCTCCCCTTCCCAATCTGCCTGTTCCCATGGCAACAGATTCTCCAAATATCTGTCCCCACCTGGAGCCGGCCAAGGGAGGGGCCCCCAGCACCACCTCCGCGGCCCCCCCTTACCCCCCTGCCTCCCCGCCACAGGCTGTGCCTCTGCCACACCCCCCGCCCCGGCTCCCCCGCGCCTCTCTGGGGACCAGAGAACACGTGTGTCAGGCGGCCTGGGCTGCCAGGGGGCCCCCCGCCTGCCCCCCAACCTGAGGGTCCCCAGAGCCCGGGTCCCAGCTCCTCTTACCTTGACATTGCAGGCCCTGCTTCCCGATGCCCCTGCGAGGGACAAGGACCTGAGGTCAGTGCAGACAAGGGGGACCCTGGGCCCCCCACATCCGCGAGCCACAGGCGGCCTCTGACCCTCCTCCCCCGGAGCCAGGAATCTAAGCCCCAGCCCCCTCCTCTTTCTAGAACACAGACCTGCTTCTGGCCCCCAGCCTCCTCCCTCAGACCCCCCAGCCCCTCCTCCCTCGGACCCAGGAGCCCAGGCCCCCAGCCTCCTCCCTCAGATCCCCCAGCCCCTCCTCCCTCAGACCCAGGAGCCCAGGCCCCCAGCCTCCTCCCTCAGACCCCCCAGCCCCTCCTCCCTCGGACCCAGGAGCCCAAGCCCCCAGCCCTCCTCCCTCAGGAGCCCCAGCTCCTCCTCCTTCTGGACCCCACCCCCACCCCAGCCTAGGACCGGGAGCCAGGATGCAGCCCCCTCTTTCCCCGCTCCTCGGGGTCCTCTGCGTCAGGGGGTCTCGGCCCCGGGCCGGGCCCCCGCCCCTCACCAGATGAAGTCGGTGCAGTGGCTGCAGAAGGTCGGCTGCTTGAAGAAGCGGGCGGTGAACTTGTGGCTCTTGACCTCGTGCACCACCTTCTGCCTCAGGGCCCCCTTCCTGCAGAACAGCGGCCGGGGGCCCCCCTCGGCGTCGCCCCCGCCGGGGCCCAGGCCCGCCATGGCCCCGAGCGCCGCGGGGACCGGGGACAGGTGTGGGGGCCGGAGCCGGCGCCCCGGGGTGCGGGGGGAAGCCGGGGAGCCGCGGGGAGGTCCCGGGAGCGGGGAGCGGGGAGAGGCACCGCGGGGCGCGGGGCGCGGGGCGGGCGGCGGGGACCCCGGGGCGCAGGGCGCGGGGCAGGGGCGCGCGGCCGGCGGCGGCGCTGGGAGCTCGGGCGCCCGCACCTGCTGAAATGTGGGAGCCCCGGGCGGGGGGCGGGGGGGAGGCGTTGCCATGACGACCGAGGGGCGGGGTTTCGCCTAAAGCCGTCCCCCCTCCCTCCCTCCCTCCACATCGGACCCGCGTCCACACACCCTCCCCCCGGCTCCTCCGCGAACACACGTGCGCGCACCCCGCCCGCCGGGCTGGAGGGAGGGGCGGCCCCATCTGTCCCCTCCGGGCCCGGGACCCCGGCGCCCCCCGATCGCTGTGTCCGGGACCCCGGCGCCCCCCCCATCGCTGTGTCCCGGCCCCCGGGACCCCGGCGCCCCCCGATCGCTGTGTCCCGGCCCCTGGGACCCCGGCGCCCCCGATCGCTGTGTCCCGGCCCCTGGGACCCCGGCGCCCCCGATCGCTGTGTCCCGGCCCCTGGGACCCCGGCGCCCCCCGATCGCTGTCTGTGTCCCCCAGGCCGTGACGCTCCGGTTGGTGCCCAAACTTTGCGCTCCGGGCCGGGACCGGCAAGCGGCGCGCAGGGGAGCCCGGGGTCTCCACGCCGCCCGGAGTCTGGACTTTTCTTTTGGGGTTTGAGGGGGCCTCTTTTTTTTTTAATATATATATTTTATTGATTTTCCACAGAGAGGAAGGGAGAGGAATAGAGAGCTAGAAACGCGATGAGAGAGAAACATCGACCAGCTGCCTCCTGCACACCCCGCACCGGGGATGTGCCCGCAACCAAGGTACACGCCCCTGACCGGAATCGAACCTGAGACCCTTCAGTCCGCTGGCGGATGCTCTATCGGGTTAAATCCTGTCTTTGCAAAAGGCTCTGTCTCTGTCTCTGAGTATCTCTGTCTCTCAGTGACTGGGTGTGTCTCTGTCAATCACTCCCGCTGTGTATTTCTCTAGGAGAGTTCATTTCTCTCTCAACCCTTGCCATTTCTTACCCCCCCCCCCCCTTGTTTTTAAAGATGTTTCAGAGTGCCTACCCATGGTCGGCAAACTGCGGCTCGAGAGCCACATGCGGCTCTTTGGCCCCTTGAGTGTGGCTCTTCTACAAAATACCACAGCCTGGGCCAGTCTATGTTCAAGAAGTGGCGTTAGAAGAAGTTTAAGTTTGCTGAAACCCGTTTGGCTCAGTGGATGGAGCGTCGGCCTGCGGACTGAAAGGTCCCAGGTTCAATTCCAGTCAAGGGCATGTACATTGGTTGATTGATGTTTCTCTCTCATAGATTTTTCTAGCTCTCTATCCCTCTCTCTTCCTCTCTGTAAAAAATCAATAAAATATATTTTTTAAAAGAAGTTAAAGTTTAAAAAATGTGGCTCTCCAAAGAAATTTCAATCGTCGTACCGTTGATATTTGGCTCTGTCGACTAATAAGTTTGCCGACCACTGACCTAACCGGTTTGGCTCAGTGGATAGAGCACCGGCCTGCAGACTCAAGGGTACCAGGTTCGATTCTGGTCAAGGGCATGTACCTTGATTGCGCGCACATCCCCAGTAGGGGGCGTGCAGGAGGCAGCTGATCGATGTTTCTCTCTCATTGATCTTTCTAACTCTATCCCTCTCCCTCCCTCTCTGTAAAAAATCAATAAAAAAATATTTTTAAAAGAAGATATTTCAGAGAAATGAGAGAGAGAAACATCAATGATGAGAGAGACACATTGACTGGCTGCCTCCTGCACGCCCCACACTGAGGATCACAATCCGGGCATGTGCCCTGCCTGGGAATCGAACCCAGGACCTCTTGGTCCACAGGACAACGGCCGTGTCCCCGCCTTTGTAAGTGCATCTTGTCTCTGCCCCTCGGTTGGAGTGCCTGCCTCTTCCCCTCTGGGTGCATTGCCTCTGCTAACCCAATCCCTCCTGTTCCTGGGGGGCCGGAAGGGGTGGTTTCTCTCTCTCCCTCCCCCCCCCTCCTACCTGTGTCTCTGACCCTATGAATCCCTCTTTGCACCTTGGGGTGGCGTCTCTCCCTCCCTCCAGGTCTTGCTGTGATTCAGTGCCCGACTCTGGGGTTCTCTGCGCAGCTGTTCAGGCTTTTTGTTTGTTTGTGTGTGTTTTTTTTTTTTGGGGGGGGGGGGGAAGGTCCGAACGTGAACGTGAGCCCTGAAGGCTTCCTCCTGCCGCCGCCACCCGCCCGCCCCGTCCCCTCCACCGGCGTCCGGCTCGGGTCTTGCTCCTTCCCTCCCGCCAGCGCGCGCTGGGAGCCCTGCTGTTGCCAAGGGCAACTACGGCCCGCCCTCGGTTTGCGGAGCGCAATGCATCCTGGGACTCGTAGTCCAAGCCTGCGGGCCGCCTGTTTTCACCGCATGGCTGAGAACTTCCTCTCCCGGCATGCTCCGCGAGGCGGAGCGGGGCGCCGGGGCGGCGCCTGGGGGGGGGGGGGCGCCCTCCGCGCTTGGTTTAGGACTTTTGGGGGGTCGTAGTCCGCCCTCCCGAGGCCGAAGGGGAGGGGAGACAATCCGAGTCTGTTCCCAACTCCTCCCCCCATGGGGGGGTGCTCTGGCCGTCCAGCCAGCCATCCCCAGGCCCGCCGGGCCCCAGAGCAGATGGGGTGGGGCTGGGGCTGGGGGTGGCCCCGAAAACTGCCCTCGGAATCCCACAGCGCTCGGTCCCAGGGCTCCCGGGGCCCTTCCCGGTCATCTGCGTCTCAGCCCCCGGGTTTTAGAGCGGGTCTCCCGCGCCTTCCAGGAGGGGTTCGAGCATGGGATGCGGGTGGGGAGGAGACGCCCTTTGGGGGGTGGGGGTTGGTACAGGCCAGTTCTGGGGTGCACAGGGCAGAGACCAAAGAGAGGCTGCCCCTCGCTCTAGCCGGTGTGGCTCAGTGAGTAGAGCGTGGGCCTGCGGACTAAAGGGTCCCAGCCAAGGGCACATGCTCTGGTTGTGGGCTCGACCCGCCACTAGAGGGCGTGCGCCATCCATGATTCTCTCTCATCATTGACCTTTCTATCTCTCCCTTTCTGAAATCAATAAAAATGTATTTTTTAAAAAAGAGAGAGCGCCGAAACCGGTTTGGCTCAGTGGATAGAGCGTCGGCCTGCAGATTGGAAGGTCCGAGGTTCAATTCCGGTCAAGGGCATGTACCTTGGTTGTGGGCACATCCCGTTAGGAAGTGTGCAGGAGGCAGCTGGTTGATGTCTGTCATCGATGTTTCTAGCTCTCTATCCCTCTCCCTTCCTCTCTGTAAGAAAATCAATAAAATATATTTTTTTTAAAAAGCGAATCTTGTTCGTCTCTATCCTAACCAGCTCTCCTGGTTTGAGAGCAATCTGCAAGACCCAGACTCAACTCGTACTTCTCTGAGGCCAGCCCCGCCCCCTTCTTCCCATCAGGCCCAGGAACCCGGGCCTCGCCCTGCCTCCCCAAGTCCCCCCCCAATAATAAAGCACGCACAAGTCTTCCTTGGACCTTTATATGGAGGTAAAAAATAAAATAAAGAACGTCGTGGATGTGGAGGTGGCTGGGGACGGGAGGGACGAAGCCTCCCTCTCTGATGGACAGCAGGGGCCGATGGGAACCAGAAGCTCCAGGGAATTAAAAAAAAAATAAAATATGTATCTATACATTTATATATATATATATATCATGTGAGGCGTGTTGAGTCCCAGAGAGGCAGGAAGCGGCAGCAGGAAGCAGCTACGCACACAGAAACACGCGTGTCTCATGCACTCAGGGGGGCAGCGATCCCCACCTGTCCAGCCCACCCACAAATTTAAAAAAAAAAGGAACTCTTCCCCTTTAAGAAGAGGACCACCCAGCAGTCATTTCTGCCCTTGTGACAGGAAGAAGAGAAAAAATCCCAGGCTCCCTTGCTCTCCTCCCAGCTAAGGCGGCACATGCTCTGTGTCACACTGAGGCTGGGGCCCCAGGTTCCCGTCCCCCTGGAAATACTGTAGACAGCGTCGTACCCAGAGGGTAGTCAGGATGGAAGACAGACAGCCACCGTCCTTGGGTCCCTTTAAGACAGGCCGTGGGGCGGGGGTTTTGGTAAGCCTGGCAAGAATCCTGGTGAGACTGGGCGCCAGGTGGGGCCCCTAAGGACCAGGGTCTGTGATGTAAGCCTCCTGCCGGTCCTATTTAATAAAGAGCTAATGTGCTAATTAGACGGGTCTGCAGGATGACCTCTGGATGACCTTCCGGAACGACCAGCGGGCGGGGCCGTGGGACCACGAGGCAGTTGGGCCTGCGAGGGCTGAGCCCCTTGCACGAATTTCATGCACCGGGCCTCTAGCTGGAAATAACTGGCCTCCAGGGATTTTTTTATTTTTACTTAAAGGGGCAGCTTTACTATATACCCCCTTCCACTGCGAGAGAAGGGTCCCAGTCCCTAGCTACCCTCCCACCCCCCAAAACACACACACACACACACACACACACACACCTACTACGAAGGCACAGCCAGCGTGGGCACATGCTTTGGCAATGAGGCCCCTAAGGGGGCCCGGGGTCTGACCAGCTGCTATGGGGGGGTGTGGGGGCGTGGAGCTCAGCACCTTTGGAGTTGGGGTGGCAGTGGAGGCGGGGGGTGGGGGTGTGTGACCAAAAAGTCCCAGGGCTCCCTAAGGAAAGTAGAAGAAGTGATGTGGGAGGAAGAAGTGGTACCGAAAACAAGGCAGGCGAGAAAGCACATGGGAACAGACCAGGGAGGAAAAGGAGAGAGCGAGTGAGGAGGGGGGGGGGGGGGGGGGGGGCGGGGACAGGCAACCCGGGGTGTGGGCAGCCGAAGAAAGACGCAGGGCCGAAACCGGTGTGGCTCAGTGGATGGAGCCTCGGCCTGCGGACTGAACGGTCCCGGGTTCGATTCCGGTCAGGGGCATGTGCCTTGGTTGCGGGCGCATGCCCAGTAGGGGGCGTGCAGGAGGCAGCTGATGGATGTTTCCAGCTTCCTATCCCTCTCTCTTCCCCTCTGTGAAAACTCAATAAAACCTATTTTTTTTTTTTTTTAAAGAAAAAGACGCAGGAAGGGAAGGGGACAGAGGGCATGGGACAGGGGTGGGGGGAGAGCAGGTGACAGGGATGAGGAGGAGAGGAGATGCAGGGGGAGGACTTGGGAGGAGATCAGAGACACCCTGGTGAGAGAGAGAGGGAGAGAGAGAGGGAGAGAGAGAAAGAGAGAGAGAGAGAGAGAGGAGAGGAGAGAGAGAGAGAGAGAGAAAGAGAGAGAGAGAGGGAGTCGGGCGGGTCCCGGATGGCACGCCTCAGACCCGGACGAAGACCAGGTGGGCCGAGTGCACCAGGTCGGCCACGTAGGCCAGCAGGTTGATGGCGGTGAGGATGGCCACCGCCAGGCGGCGGTCCCAGGGGCACACGTACTGGACGTGGCTGCCCCGGCAGCTGGGGTCCCTGGCGCGCCGGGGCTGGCCGCCGTGCTTCTCGTCGAACTGGTAGAGCGGCCACAGGACCATGGCGGAGGCGTAGCACAGCACGGACAGGAGCGCCAGGCCGGACAGGAAGGTGGGGAAGGGCACCGGCAGGGCGTTGGTGCAGTCGAACAGGTTGAGCAGGATGGCCACGGCCGCCAGGATGAAGCAGATGGCGTAGACGGCCACGCACCACTCCAGCGCCGGCCGGTCCTTGTACATGTAGGGGTCGCTGATGAAGGCGAAGATGATGCAGGCCACGAAGGTCTCCACCACCTTGAGCAGGCCCGGCACGGTGGCCATGTAGCCGGTGACCTCGCCGGGCCGGGCCCGGGTCCAGGCCACCTCGGTGGCGTAGGCCAGGCAGGCCAGGCAGGAGAAGGCGGTGGCGGCGATGGCGTGGTCGCGCGAGCGGCCCTGGCCCATGAACTGGACGTAGGTGGCCGGGTAGAGGACGGAGGCCGTCAGGCAGAAGAGGGCGGCGTAGCAGGCGAAGGTGATGGGGAAGTTGCGCCAGGACAGCGGGAAGCGGGCCTGCAGCCCGGCCAGCTCCACGGCGATGATGACGAGGGTCACGGCGAAGCAGAAGCACCAGGCGAACATGCAGAAGTTGCCCGAGAAGCCCACCCAGGCGTTGACGCTGGCCACCAGCGAGAAGGCCACGCAGGTGGACAGCAGCTGCAGCAGGCGGAGCAGGCCCAGCGGCTGGGTCAGCGCCCGCGGGGAGCCCAGCACGGTGGGCGAGGCGGAGGACGTGGTGGTGATGGTCGTGCGCGTCACGGTCACCGGCATGGCTGCGGGGGGAGGGGGGAGGGAGGAGGGTGAACGGAGAAGGCGCCGGCCGGGAGGACTCAGGCCCCCCCTGGCCTTGGCCGGCCCCGGGGAGGGGGGGGGGGGGACTGGAGCCTGGGGGTATCCCCAATGCCCATGGTCAGCAAACTGCGGCTCTCTGGCCCCTCGGATGTGGCTCTTCCACAAAATACCACGGCCTGGGCGAGTCTATTTTGTTGTTAGTTTGTTGTTATTTTTTGTTTTTTGTTTTTGTTTTTTTAAATATACTTTATTGGCCGAGACCGGTTTGGCTCAATGGATAGAGCGTCGGTCTGTGGACTGAAGGGTCCCAGGTTCGATTCCGGTCAAGGACATGTACCCTGGTTGTGGGCAAATCCCTAGTATGTGGAGGAGGCAGCTGATCAATGTTTCTCTCTCATCAATGTTTCTAACTCTCTATCCCTCTCCCTTCCTCTCTGTACAAAATCAGTAAAATAGATATATTTTTTTAAATCAATAAAATATATTTTAAAAAAGAAACCCTAGCTGGTTTGGCTCAGTGGATAGAGCATCAGCCTGTGGACTGAAGGGCCCTGGATTTTTTTTTAATTTTTATCTTTTTCACAGAGAGGAAGGGAGAGATATAGAGAGATAGAAATGTCGATGAGAGAGAAACATCGACCAGCTGCCTCTTGCACACCCCCTATTGGGGATGTGCCCGCAACTCAGGTACATGCTCCTGACTGGAATCGAACCTGGGGCCCTTCAGTCCGCAGACCGACGCTCTACCACTGAGCCAAACCGGTTTCGGCTGGCCCTGGATTTGATTCCCGTCAAGGGCATGTGTTGTGGCTCATCCCCAGTGGAGGGGGCGTGCCAGAGGCAGCCAATCGATGATTCTCTCTCATCATTGATGTTTCTAGTTCTCTCTCCTTCTCCCTTCCTCTCTGAAATCAGTAAAAATATATTTTTTAAAATAATAATAATACAAGACTGGGCTCTAAAGCAATCCCTCCCTGTCAGAACAAGAGGCGGTGTCTTATGACCTCTTAACAGTCCATCTCTCTCTCTCTCTCTCTCTCTCAACTTCCCCTCTTTGGGGTACCCGGAGTTCTGCACCCCACTTCCTCTTCAGCCTAAGGGGACCTCGATATAGTTCTGGCCTCCGAAAGTCCGGGAGTCCGGCCTGCCCAGTTCTGCATCCTCAGGGACCCACATCTAATCACCCCTCGCCTCTGAGCATCCCCCCCCTCCTCCACCCCCACCTCAGAGACCAGGAGTCCCAGGAGAGCTTCGACCCAAAGGAAGTCCAGCTTCCTCTTGCCCTGCCCCCCTCCCCCACGTGGAGCCCAACTCCCTCAGAACCCCGGCCAGCTGGCTCCTCTCCTTCGTGGGAACTCGGCTCCCCCCAGCCGGGGCCAGCCAGCCCGTGTGGCTCAGCGGTTAAGAGCGGGTCCATGAACCAAGAGGTCAAGGGTTCCATTCCCAGTCCCCAGTCTGACACATGGCCGTATTTCGGGCTTGATCCCCAGTAGGGGGCGCACAGGAGGCAGCTAATAGATGTTTCCATCCATCCCTCTCCCTTTCTCCCTCTCTAATAAAACTGTTTGCCTTTATTATTTTTTAAAATGTTTTATTCTTTTTTTTTTTTTTTTTTTTTTTTTACAGAGAGGAAGGGAGAGAGAGAGTTAGAAACATCGACGAGAGAGAAGACACCGATCAGCCGCCTCCTGCACGCCCCCCACTGGAGAATGTGCCTGCAACCAACGTACATGCCCTTGACAGGATTGGAACCTGGGACCCTGCAGTCCGCAGACCAACGCTCTATCCACTGAGCCACACCGGTCAGCGCTGTTTGGGTTTGTTTGTTTTTTTAAAGCAATTCATCTCCCGGATTCTAAAGTGTCCAGTGATCTGGTCGGCTGTTCCACCGAAATCTCCAGGTTTCCGTGTTATGTAGCTTCGGGTCTCGGGGTTCTGAGCTCCCCAGAAGCCAGCACACCAGGCGGCCAGCCACCTGCTCTGAGACACCTGCTTCCTGCCCCGCCCTCCAGCCCTCCAGGTCCCCCGTCGGGCACAAAGGCTCCAGTCCCCGCGGCCACTCCTAGAGGCGCAGAGGCCTCCCTCGGTGATGGAAATAACTTCCCCTTCCCGCTCAGAGCCAGCGAGCAGGCTCCCCCCACCCCTCACCCCGCCCCCTGGACACCGGAGCCAGTCCTCACACCCTCCTTCCCCAGATACTCCTTGTCCCGCGTACATTTCTCAGGATCCAGAAGCCAGACAGACACCGCGCCCCAGCCACTCCTCCCTCAGATCCGGGAGTCCAGGCCCCAGCCCCTCCTCCCTCAGACCCAGGAGCCCAGGCCCCCAGCCTCCTCCCTCAGACCCAGGAGGACCTCCAGCCCCTCCTCCCTCAGACCCAGGAGTCCAGGCCCCAGCCCCTCCTCCCTCAGACCCAGGAGCCCAGGCCCCCAGCCCTCCTCCCTCAGACCCAGGAGCCCAGGCCCCCAGCCCTCCTCCCTCAGACCCAGGGGGACCTCCAGCCCCTCCTCCCTCAGACCCAGGAGCCCAGGCCCCCAGCCTCCTCCCTCAGACCCAGGAGCCCAGGCCCCCAGCCCTCCTCCCTCAGACCCAGGAGCCCCAGGCCCTCCTCCCTCAGACCCAGGAGCCCAGGCCCCCAGCCCTCCTCCCTCAGACCCAGGAGCCCCGGCCCCCAGCCCTCCTCCCTCAGACCCAGGAGCCCAGGCCCCCAGCCTCCTCCATCAGACCCAGGGGACCTCCAGCCCCTCCTCCCTCAGACCCAGGAGCCCAGGCCCCCAGCCTCCTCCCTCAGATCCAGGAGTCCAGGCCCCCAGCCCTCCTTCCTCAGACCCAGGAGCCCAGGCCCCCAGCCCTCCTCCCTCAGACCCAGGAGCCCAGGCCCCCAGCCCTCCTCCCTCAGACCCAGGAGCCCAGGCCCCCAGCCTTCCTCCCTCAGACCCAGGAGCCCAGGCCCCCAGCCCTCCTCCCTCAGACTCGGGAGCCCAGGCCCCCAGCCCCTCCTCCCTCAGACCCAGGAGCCCAGGCCCCCAGCCCTCCTCCCTCAGACCCAGGAGCCCAGGCCCCCAGCCTCCTCCCTCAGACCCAGGAGCCCAGGCCCCCAGCTCCGTTACCTGCGGTCTTAGCTGAGGATCCCGACGGAGAAAGATCTGGCTCGCGTGGCAGATGAAGTCAGAGGCACCTGGAAAAGGTTAGTCAGAGCATAAGAGAGGCCGAGAGAGAGAGAGGACGTCAGCGTGCGCTCAGCCCGGCTCCGCCCCCGGAGACCCAGGCGACAGCCCCGCCGGGGCGAGAAGGCTCCCCCCCTCACCCCACCCCCGCCCCGCCCCTAGGAGACGGCAGCAGCTCGGACCAGGCAGCCGCACCTCCCTCCCTCCCCCCCTGCACCCCCGTCCCCCCCAATCGGGGGTGGAACCCCAGCCTCTGGGCCAAAGTGCGCGCCGCGGGGGCGTGCGCCCGGCCGCCGCCCCGCCCCGCCGGGGGAGGGCGCTGGGCGGAGGCTGCGGGGCGGCCGCCGGCCCGATCCGTGTCCCCGGCCTTATAAGGACTCAGGCCGCGGCCACCGGAATGCGGCGGGGACCCCCGCCCCGCGCCTCGGCTTGGGGGCGGGGCGCCCGGACTCCGGGGCCCGGCTGGAGAGGCCTGGGGCGCACACGTCTGGCGCGTTCACGGTGGGAGTTCTGGGTCCCTCTGGGGAAGGGCGGGGCGCCGGGCCCCCCAGGAGGGCCTCTGGGGGAGGGTGACCGGGAACCGGGCTGGGGGGGGGGGGGTGTGATTGCCTGGCGGGGAGACACACACACACACACACACACACACACACACCGCCTCCAGGCCCGGAGCTGCGCGCCCCGCTGGGGAACCGAGAGCTAAGCGGTCCCTCCTCCTCCTCCTCCTCCTCCTCCTCCTCCTCCGGGAAGGAAGGTGTCCCCCGGGCCACCTGGGAGGTGCTCCCCGGGCCCTCCCTCCTCCCTCCTCCCTCCTCCCTCCTCCCGGGCCCGTTAGGAGGAAGTCGGGCCGCCCGGAGGAAGGGGACGGGCCGGGAGGGAGAGGGACTCCCCCGGCCACGCCCCGTCCCTGCGCGGCCGGAGGGGGGCGCCCGAGCCCAGCATGTGCTCCCCACGCCCCACGCCCAGGCCGGCCACCGCCTGGCTCTCCCCCGGCTCCCTCCGGGCGCGGGCTCTGCAGCCCCAGGTTCCCATTCTGTGCCCGGGACCGGGAGGTCCAGCATCCGCACCCCCGGCCACACGCTTTCCCAAACTCAGGACTCCCGCTGCTCCCAGCTCCTCCCCTCCTGAGGGCCTCTTGTCCCCATCCTCCTCCCTCAGCCCCAGGGGGTCCCCCAGCCCTCCTCCCTCAGCCCCAGGCCCCAGCCTCCTCCCTCAGCCCAAGGCCCCCAGCCTCCTCCCTCAGCCCCAGGCCCCAGCCTCCTCCCTCAGCCCAAGGCCCCCAGCCTCCTCCCTCAGCCCAAGGCCCCCAGCCTCCTCCCTCAAACCCAGGAGCCCAGGCCCCCAGCCTCCTCCCTCAGACCCAGGGGAACCTCCAGCCCCTCCTCCCTCAGACCCAGGAGTCCAGGCCCCCAGCCTCCTCCCTCAGACCCAGGGGGTCCCCCAGCCCTCCTCCCTCAGCCCCAGGCCCCCAGCCTCCTCCCTCAGACCCAGGAGCCCAGCCCTCCTCCCTCAGCCCCAGGCCCCAGCCTCCTCCCTCAGCCCAAGGCCCCCAGCCTCCTCCCTCAAACCCAGGAGCCCAGGCCCCCAGCCTCCTCCCTCAGACCCAGGGGGACCTCCAGCCCCTCCTCCCTCAGACCCAGGAGTCCAGGCCCCCAGCCTCCTCCCTCAGACCCAGGAGCCCAGGCCCCCAGCCCTCCTCCCTCAGACCCAGGGGGACCTCCAGCCCCTCCTCCCTCAGACCCAGGAGTCCAGGCCCCCAGCCTCCTCCCTCAGACCCAGGAGCCCAGGCCCCCAGCCTCCTCCCTCAGACCCAGGAGCCCAGGCCCCCGTTCCCCCCTCTTCCCTCAGTCCTGTGCCCTCTGGGATCCAGGTCCCCAGCCCCTCCTCCCCACATCCCTCTCCTCCCCAGAACCCGAGTCTGGCTCAGCCCCAGTCTTTCTAGGGACTCGGACGCCCATGCCTCCTTCGCACCAGGAGCCCTGGACCGCAGCCTCCCTCACCTCTGGGCTGGCGGCGGCGGCGGCGGGAGTGGGAGCCCGGCGACAGCTGCGGACTGGAAGGGGCTGCGGACTGGGTGGGGATGGCGGTGGGTGGGGTGGCGGTGGGTGCGGATGGCGGTGGGTGGGGTAGCGGTTGGGTGGGGAGCCGGCGCGGGCGGAGCCGGGGGAGGGCGGGGCGGGCGCGCGATGGGGAGGATGGGGGGCCCGGCGGATAACGGGACTCCCCGAAGCCAGGGCTCCCCCGGGGCGTGGCCAGCGCAGGGCCCGCCCCCGGGAAATAACTGAACCTCCGCTCACCCTGGGGGGGGGGGGGATGGAAGGCTGAGGTCACCGTCGCCATGGAGACAAAACAGGAAGACACAACAGCTGGCGGCGTGGGGGCTGCTGGGGGCCCCGACCAGCCGCAGCGCCGTCTCCAGGGGAGGCCCGCCGAGGCCGTTGCTGTGGCAACGCGCCTGTTTAGGGTTTGTTTATCGCCGAGACCCTCCAGCCCCGTCCCCACCCCGAGGCTCCCTCACCTCCTCCCTGCCCCTCGGGCCTCCCTCCTGCCCCCTCCGGCCTCCCTCCCTCCCGCCGCGCCGGCCCAGCCCCCAAACCCCGGGGGAGGGAGGGATCTGGGGCGTCTGGGCCGCCCCGCCGCGGGGACGGGATCTGGGGCTGGGGGGGGGGGGGGGTCCCCGGAGAAGGAAAGGGGTGCCGATCCCTAAGCCTCAGCTCCTGGGCGGAGGTCCCCGATGCCGGGGTCCGTCCCCCGAAAGAACAGGGACGGCGTGTCCAGACTGAAGGATCCGAGGGCCCCCGAGGGGGGATGTGCAAGGGCCGGGGGGGGGGGGGGCTGGACCCCCGGGTCCCAGGGGCGCCGGCGGTGGAGGGGGGTGCTGGCAGCCAAATCCCGGGGCCTGGGCCGAGGGGGGCTCCCCGGGACGCCCGGCCGGGGACCCCGCTTCCCGGCTCGGAGGAGCGGCCGCGCTGGCGGCTGCGGCTCTGGCTCCCCCGGGGCGGGAGGTGAGCTATTTTGGGCCCGAATTCCGGGAGGGGGGCGGGGCGGACAGCGCACCGGGCCCTGCGGGAGGGGAGAGGCCGGGACCGGGGACCGGGGACCGGGCCCTGCGGGAGGGGAGAGGCCGGGACCGGGGGCCCGGGCCCCGGGCCCCGGGCCCCGGGCGGGCGGGGCGGCGGGGCCGGATCCGGGGCCGGGGGAGGGCCGCTCTGCGGCTCCGGATGGGGACGGCCGGTCTGGGAGGTCCGGGAGCTGCGGGGCCGGGCCCGGTCCCCCCGCGGCCGCACTCACCGCTCCGCAGTCCGGCGGCGGCCTGGCTCGGGGCGCGGGCGGGGCGGCGCCGGGCGGACAGACGCTGGCCCGGCGGGGCCGCTGGGCGCCTTCCAGGCCGGGGCGGCGGCGGCGGGAGGCCGAGCCCCGCGGAGGCGGCGGCGGCGGCGGCGGCGGCGGCGGGAGGCCGAGCCCCGCGGAGGCGTCGGCGGCGGGAGGGCCGGTGTGGGGTCCGAGCTCTGCCACCCGGCTGCGTGCCCTGCGGAGAAGGGTGGGGCTGGGGGGTGCAGGGGGGACGCCAGGTGCGGCAAGCTCTGCAGAAATGGCGGGGGGGGGGGGGGTAGGGGTGGAGGAGGGAGAGTGGGATTGGAGCCTGAATGCCCAGTTTTTAAAATATATATATATTTTTTTATTATTACAGACAGGAAAGAAGGATAGAGAGTTAGAAACATGGATGAGAGAGAAACATGGATCAGCTGCCTCCTGCACACCCCCCACTGGGGATGTGCCCCCAACCAAGGTACATGCCCTTGACCCGAATCGAACCTGGGACCCTTCAGTCCACAGGACAACACTGTTCACTGAGCCAAGCCAGCTAGAGCTGTATGCCCAGTTAAAAAAAAAATTTTTTTTTATTGATTTCAGAGAGGGAGAGGGAGAGAGAAATATCAATGATGAGAGAGAATCATGGATCGGCTGCCTCCTGCACGCCCCACACTGGGAATTGAACCCGCAACCTGGGCCTGTGCCCTGGCCGGGAACAGATCCGTGACCTCCTGGTTCACAGGTGGATGCTCAACCCCGGAGCCACACCGCCCCGGCTATATGCCTAGTTTTGTGCCCCTGCAAAGGGGTAGGCACAGCCCTAACCAGTGTGGCTCAGTGGATAGAGAATCAGCCTGCGGACTGAAGGGTCCCAGGTTCGATTCCGGTCAAAGGCATGTGCCTTGGTTGCGGACACATCCCCAGCTGGGGGTGTGCAGGAGGCAGCAGATGCATGTTTCTCTCTCAGCGATGTTTCTAGCTCTCTATCCCTCTCCCTTCCTCTCTGTAAAATTTAATTTAAAAAAGGGGGGGTACGTACACCCCCTCTCCGTCATCCCGCGCCCCGCCTCGCATCAGCGCACACAGGAGCCAGGCCGTGGGGGGGTCGGTTGGAGGCTCTGCAGGCACATCCCCTCGGCCTGGTCACACCCTCCCCGCCCCTCCTCCCTGCCCCTCCACGCCTCACCCCCTGCTGGCATTCCTGCGGCACCCCAAAAAGCGCCGGGCCTCCCCACCGCACACCTCCCGGCCTGTGTGTGCTCACCGTTAGGCAACGGACCCACAGGTTAGGCAACGAGCCCACAACCTCGGGGTTCAGGGCGGCGGCAGGCAGGAAGCAAACATTGACACGGTGACTCATGGGGTGTGGCCTGAGAGAAGTGAAACCTGGGGTGCCGGCGGGAACGTGGCGGCAGCAGCGACAACACCCAGCCCCGGCGCTGCGGTCTGCAGCCTGGCACGGCCCCCAGCCTCACACAGGCCCAGCCTCTGTTCCCCGAGGCTGGGGGCATGGGGTGACAGGGTGCATGCGCCCGCCCACCCACTTCCTCCTAAGCCCGGCTCCCTGCTCAGGAGCCATCCTGGGCGGATCAGCAGGAGGTGAATGGGGCCTTGAGGGCAGGCCCAGATGCTGCAGTTGGCCAGGAAAGCAAAAGAGGGCCAATGGCCGAAGCCGGTGTGGCTCAGTGGATAGAGCATCGGCCTGCGGACTGAAGGGTCCCAGGTTCGATTCCGGTCAAGGGCATGTACCTTGGTTGCGGGCACATCCCCGGTGGGGGGCGTGCAGGAGGCAGCTGATAGATGATTCTCTCTCATCAATGTTTCTAACTCTCTATCCCTCTCTCTTCCTCTTTGTAAAAAAATCAACAAAATATATATTTTTTAAAAAAAAAAAAAAAGAGGTCCAGCCGAAACCGGTTTGGCTCAGTGGTAGAGCTTCGGTCTGCGGACTGAAAGGTCCCGGGTTCGATTCCGGTCAGGGGCATGTACGTTGGTTGCGGGCAAATCCCCGGTGGGGGGCGTGCAAGAGGCAGCTGGTCGATGTTTCTCTCATCGACGTTTCTAGCTCTCTATCTCTCTCCTCTGTAAAAACTCAATAAAATATATTTTAAAAAATAAATAATAAAAGAGGTCCAATTATTCCTGGAGGGAAAGCTCACTGTGCCCCCCTCTCCCGCCCCCCAGATGGAGGTGGGGGGGGGGGCATGTAATCGCCGGTGACCAGGTGTTTGGTGGGTTTCCCTCAGAAACCATGCCTGGGGGGAAGGTGTGGGGGTGCCTGGGGGACTCAGCCCTGCTTACTGCTGAGGTGGGCCAGGCTCATGGGCCAAAGGGTCCCGGGTTCGATTCCCGCCGAGGACACATACCCCCGGTGTAGGCCCTGGTCCCGGCAGGTGCAGGAGGCAGCTTGTGGATGTGTTTCTCTCTGTCTTTCCCTCTCTTTCCCTGTCGTTCACTCTCTCTAAAAAGCAATGGTCTGGCCAAACCGGTGTGGCTCAGTGGATAGAGCGTCGGCCTGCGGACTGAAAGGTCCCAGGTTCGATTCCGGCCAAGGGCATGGACCTTGGTTGCGGGCACATCCCCGGTGGGGGGTGTGCAGGAGGCGGCTGGTCGATGTTTCTAGCTCTCTATCCCTCTCCCTTCCTCTCTGTAAAAAATCAATAAAATATATCTTAAAAGGACAATGGTGTGGACGGAAGGGGCCACAGGCTGACCTGCCCGGCTCAGGGGAGGCCTACACGGCCGTCTTACAAACTCAGACCTACAGTCCCCACCAAGGACGGTCTGAAATGAAACTTTAACGAAACACCGTGAAGGTGGCAGTCACCTCCGAGGCCGGCATCTTCCCTGACAAGGTCGATCTTCACCTGAGCCCAGCCTACCAGTCTGTTTGCACCTGTGATAACACGCCCTTCAAAAGTCTGGGTAACCTGTAACCTCCCCTTTTCTGGAGCCCCTGGGGCCCAGCCTAGGGTGCTGGGCGCCATAAATTCCTTCGTTATCAATCATTTCTGCACCCACCTGAGTGTGTGTCCATCATTTCACTCTCTATCCAGTCCCAGGGGTTTCCCCTTTGCTTTCTCCCGCCTCTCTAGTCTATCACCAACGAATTTCATGTAACCCACCTACCTCCCTTTTCTTTCCCTTTTTAAAAAATACATTTTATTGATTTTTTTACAGAGAGGAAGAGAGAGGGATAGAGAGTTAAAAACATCGACCAGCTGCCTCCTGCACACCCCCTACTGGGGATGTGCCCGCAACCAAGGCACATGCCCCCGACCGGAATCGAACCCGGGACCCTTCAGTCCGCAGGCCGATGCTCTATCCACTGAGCCACACCGGTTCCGGCCAGCTCTTTCCTTTGATGGCCATGTATATACACAGATGTAACCCGCCATCCTCCGGAGCATTATCTCAGGTCGCTGAGGGTCTGCTCCCTGGCCTATGTCTCAACGGTTTGGCTCAAATAAATTCACAGAAATTCTTTACAGGTCTCAATGCGTTTGTTTGTTTTTTTCGTTAACAGTGGAAGAATATCCTCGGGTGAGGACTAACAAATAATAATAGTGAAATAACTGTTCCTGCGCCCGTTCAGCAAGCACTGGGGGAAGATGCTGACCGGGAGCCACGGAGCGGTCACCTGACTACCCGCTGGCTCAGCACTCTCTGTCCTAGAGGTTTGGGGGGAGGGGGGGTCCCCTGGGATACAGACGAGCTGCCTCTGGCCCCTGACACCAGGTGTGTGGGTTTGTCTCTCTGTTTCACATCAACACCCAGTTCTCCAATT